CTTTTGTTCTGTATTACTGCCTGTCTCTAGTCAGGCAGTTTGGGGACTTGCAATGGTAAGACTGATATAGTTGTATGATAATGTGGATGAACGTGCACTCATTGAGAACAAACATGAGCTGTCTAAATGTGCAGCAGGTCAACCTCCCCTCCCCTCCCCCTGAGCAGGGTACCTCCTCATCAATCAGGTTTCTTTCAGTCCTCTTGGACGTGTTTTATAAGCAAAGCACTTGTGCGGGCTTGCCCCAGCCTAAATTCTCTCTGGCATAAACGGCAATGCCTTGCAATTGCTACTCTGTAACTTGTATTTGGAAGTTGAATGCTAGCTGGAGAATCACACGTTTCTCTTCCATCTTCCAGGTTTTACATCTTATTTTAGAAGCGCTTGGGTGTCATTTGATTTAAAGAGTGAGGGCCTACAAGTTGACTCACAAAAGCATTTAGAAAAGCAATTGCCTGGTGGGCCGGAGGCTTGCAGGAGAGGAATATCCTGGTGAGGAAACTGAGCCAAACACCTCTTCCAACTCCTATTGGTTTTCCTTGGCCCCGCCCACTTCCCACTTTACTGGCCACAGAACAATCTTCACTTTACTTCTCATTCTTTGAGTCCCACAGGAGAGTAGCGTTGTCCAGGTAAGTGGAAAGAAGGTGGAGGGATTGCTGGAACTGCTGAAGCTATTGCTGTTTTTAGTGGTTTTCAGGGTCAGGATCAGGCTGTGTCTAAATGCGAGGGGAGATACATAACTTTATACTCGGTTCAATAGAATCCAGAGAAAACTGGTTTTGATGATCTTGAAAACCGATCAAGCATCAGTTCATAGTCAAACTGGTTGGCAACTTAAACCTAATCTTCAAAGCCAAAGAAAAAAATACAAACATAGCAGTAAGATGTCTTTATTTTTCAATATGCCAGAATATTTTTAAATGTATTTATTTTTTCATTTTTGTGCATTGGTATTTTTCATGCATCTATGTCTCTGTGAGGGTGACAGATCTTGGAGAGAGAGACAGTTGTGAGCTGCCATGTGGGTGCTGGGAATTGAACCCAGCCAGTACTCTTAACCGCTGAGCCATTTCTCCAGCCCCAGTAGACTATTCTTTTAAGAGCAGTTTTGGGTTCACAACAAATTTGAACAGAAGGTATATGGCTATGGTTTGAATACTCAGTGCCTTATTTTCTGTTGTTTGCATTAGTCAGATTGCCTTCCTTTCCTCTGCCTTCAGTTGCATGTCCCTTAAGTTACTGGCTTGTTTTCCAGTCCCTTCTCTAGTACCTTAAGATGAAGAGGGGACATATCTAAGTCCATTAAGATTTTTCTTTTTCTTTTAATGGAACCATAGCTTATATAAGCTTATAAAAGGAAGGACATAAGTCTAAAATAATATATATTTTGTATAGTCAAAATTTTTGTTAGAACTTGCTTAAATGAGCTGTAATAAAACTTGAGATGAACATAGTTGTTGGGGTTTTATTTTAATTTTTCCTCTGGTATTGAAATAGATATCAGTTTCTTCACCTGACTACCAGATGAAGTAACAGATTTTCGTTAGAGATCAGGGTAAGGAGGGTGGGAGTTATTTAAGTATTATACTCTGAGGAAGGAGAATGGCAAGTTCAAATTCTGTCTGGACCACAGAGAAAGTTCAAGGCCAGCCTGGAAAACTTAAGAAAGCCCTGTATCAAAAATAAAATTAAAAAAAAAAAAAGGTCTGGGAATACAGATCAGGGGTAGAGCAGTTACCTAGCATGCATGAAAGACCCTAGGCTCAATCCACAGTACTGGGAATCAAAACAAAACCTACACTCATATACTTTGTTGTGAGACCAGGATCAGTTACATGATTTGTGGGGTTCAATACAAAATGAAATTACAGAAACCCTTGTTCAGAAAGATTCAAGAATGTCCAGACAGCTGCACTGGGACATAAACCAAGCAGGGGTGCTGTGTGGTCTCCTAGAGTAGAGTTCTAAGAAACGGGAAAGTGAGAAGCTTAGAAGTCAGGTAAACTCAGGAGGAGGGGCTTCCCAACCCCAGCAGAGGGAAACAGAGGGCTAAACCACTGACAGGGTTTCTTCATTCCTTGGGGCTTCTACTCCCCAATTCCAGCCCTCACAAGCAGTGAGTGTGTTACAGCTCAATTGGGGTTCCATTTAATTAACCCAAGGTGTAACTCAATCAGCAAATTGGTTGAGAGAGTTGCAAGTACTGTTTTTTTGTTTTGTTTTGTTTTTTCTGATTTTTTTCCCCAAGAATTTATTGTAATTTAGGACTCAGACTTCAGGGGTTCAAGATTTAGCTCATGGTTTGTTCATGGCTTCCAGGCTGACAGCAGTATTAGAACAAACAAATAAAACAAAACCAATAAACAATTCTCCCCAAATTTTTTTTTCTCTAAAAAAATTTTTTTAGAGGTGTAAAAAAGGAAATATATGCATTCATGGAAAATTAATTGATGGGTTTTTTTGGTTTGTTTTGCCAAGGATAGGAGATTTAAATATGTATAATTTCTACAACAAATTGTATTTTGAAGAACAACAAAGCTATTACCATGAGTCTTTCCAGTGGTTCAAAGCAGGTAATTTACAAATATTAGGTGCAAAACTGGGTGTAAAAGCATATGCTTGTAAACACAGCACCTCAGAGGCTGATCAAGAAAGGCCAGACGTTTGTGGCCAGCCAGGGATACATAGTGAGCCCTGTCTCAAATACAAACACAGAAATAGATGCAATAGCAAGATTTCTTCCAATACACTTTTAATGATTTCACCTGCTAAAGTGCTTTCCTTTTCAGGTATTTGCCCCAAGAAAGTCATAAATGTTACCTAAGTGAGGACTTCATCTTACAGTTTGGCCTATGGCAGGGAGGTGATACAAGGCTTTGTGTGTATGTATGTGGGGGGGAGAGGTGTTAAGAGAACTGCCTTCTGTTTAACAGTGCAGACCAGGCGGGGAGCAGTTGGTCAGAATTTTCCCAATGGCCTTTCGAATAACAAGCTATTTAAATGAAAGCAGTAGAAGATTTGTTTCCTGTATCTTTTCTCTTCCTGGTTTGGCTCTCTGATGTTGGCCTCCAGCCCACTGCACTCCACTTCAAACTCCTTAGCCCTCAACAGGCTAAAACTGGACTCATCCGTTGTGACAAAGATTACTCCCTTGTGCCTGCAAGAGGCACATGTCTGAGCTTTAAAAGAAGTGTCAGAGTGAGTTGGTCACCCAGGTAGAGCAGAAACCTGTGCTGATTCATGCTCACCTGCTCCTAGATAATGACATAGCACAGCACTCAGCTGCGTTAATACAAAGCTTGCAAAGCACATGCTGTTTTCCTGTGTCATTGTTAACATGGTTACCAGGAATTTAGAGATAGTTTTGGTTAATCTTTACATTGTGGAGTTGTGAAGTGGTGGTTATTTGGACAGCCCTGAAAGTGGAGGCTTCTGACATCTGCCGAGTGATATAGGAAAGAGCCAGGGTGCCAACAGCAATCTTTTTAATCTCTTGATCTGTGTCAGGTTGTGTATTTTACCATTTTTTAGACGTACTTTATTATTTATGTGTGTGTCTCTCTGTGCGAGAGTGTATGTGTGCTTATGAGTGTATGTGCATGTGTGTGCAGGTATTTGAGGAGTCCAGAAGACAGCATTGCACCCCTTAGAGCTAGAGTTACAGCTATTTGTGAGCCACCAATGTGGATGCTGAGATCCGAACTACCTGTGGTCCTCATGATAAAGCAGCAAGGGCTGCTAAGCCATGGCTCCAGCCTTAGGAGAGCGACAGATACAAATGTATACAAGTTGCTAGGTTGGTTTGTTCAGAATGACTTGCCAACTAGTTTCAGCAGCTAATACCAAGCATCTTGCTGTTTAGAACACTCTGGTTTACTCCATCCGCACAGAAACAGCAATTCCTATTATACTGAACATGACCTCCTGGGTGGGTCTGAACCCGAGACCAACCCACGTTATACAACTATTTCTATCTTGCTTTCAACCATTGTCTGCTTTCCTTTTTCTTCATTCTAGAATAACGGTGGCCATTTTAGATACGACTTTAGTAATAAATAGAAATATCTCAGCTTATACGAAATTCATTTACTTTTTGTATGAAGCTACCCACAGTAATACTAATCTGCACCTGGAAGAATAGTGGTTCTCTTTATGGGAAGACTATTTCTTCACATCCAGAAGCAAGCTCACAAGAAGTTATGCTTAGTAAGCCTGACCACCCAGATCCCCTCCCAGCACTTATTTACATGTGCCCAGGTCGAAACTTCTCAAGATAAGCTCTGCCAAAGAACCCTTACTTAGAAGAGGGAAACCGTTTTATCTTTGCACACAGGCAAGCCTTCTGGATAGGTGTGGCTCCCAGAAGCCAATCAACCTATTCAAGGGCCAAATCAGGACGGGTGTTTACAAGAAAATGTAGACGCGAGTGGATGACGCGGTTGGTCACATTTGTACGTGGGACAGCCGGTTTGGAACCTTGTTGGCTCGATTGACCCTGTGTGTGGGGCATTGTGAAGGTGGGCATCCAGTTTTCGTATCATTGCAGCGAGCGGGTACTAGTCCTCTCCGTTGGACTCAAAGTCGGCATCACCCCAGCTGATAAACGAAAAGAGACAGGGTTGGGGCGTCACCCGCTGCCCTAAGCCCGCCCCCACGCAACCAGGCCCCGCCCCCAAACTCCTCAAGCCGAACCAGCCTCTGCGCTCCCCGCAGGGCTGCCCCGGTTGGGGTGCACTCCGCCTAGGCTGACTCGGGCCGTACCACCACTGAGCATGGGGGAAAAAATCTTTTCCTATCAGACGGCTTTCAATCCGAGCCGGCTTCGGCCTATACGATAGGAAGCTAAGTAAAGTTGTGTCTTTAGAGGGAAACTCTGTGAGGGTTTAGCGCTCTCCTCCCGAACGTCCCCAGATCCCGGGGCCGCGGCCCAGCCTCCCCTCCAGTTTCTTCACGGATGGTCTCTCCCAGAGAGTACCTCCGGGCCCTTTAAATGCCGCGTGGGGCTGAAGGAGAGCGCTAGTGTTGACAAGCTAGTGAGTCCCCGAGCGTGTGCTGCCCTGGGTAGGGGGCTGCACGGAGCCCCGCGACCCTGGTCACCCAGCCTTCCTCGTGTCTCTGCGCGGGATCTGGGGGTGCGTACCCATCCCAGGGGAGGGGCCGTGGATCTCCTCAGGGCTGGGGGGTTCTGTTGCCCTCCGAGGTGGGGGCATTTGACCCCTGAGTGGAGGTTTAAAGTGGGGTTCGGTGGCGGTGGTGCCCAGGCTCCGCCGGGGCCGTTCGGCCGCGACGGCATCCCTTTGGGTGCGTGCCAGCGACTATACTCCGGGCGCGAGACGCTCCGGGGTCCCAGTGGGGCCGGGTCACCGCTCCCCCGGCCCTGGGGGAGTTGTTCTCAGCCGCGCTGGGGCCCGGGCCGCGGCCTGTGTTTGGGGCTTGTTGCCGGGTTTCTCCCGAGCTGGGCTCTGTCTCGGCAGTCCCCTCCCCCAAACGTTTGTTTTGACAGGAAACGTGGTGCTGCTGGAGGGAGGGGCGAGCGGAGAACGTGGGCGAGCGGGCGGGGCTCCTGAGACTTCCGTTGGACTTGGCCATACTGGAGGCCTTCTCAGGTCACACATGGGTCAGACCCTTGCCTTCTCAAGGATGGCTGTGTGCTCAGGGTGGCACCACAAAACATAGCAGCGAGATTTGGTGGCACGTGCATGACACAGTTACGTGTTTACGTTAGTGTGGGAGGAATTCGATATGACATGACGTTTCCTTTTAAAATGCGTTAATTAGACTGGGAATGTAGTCTTGTGGTAGAGCACTTTCCTGGCACATATAGGTTTTGTTCACTCCCGACCACAAGAAACCCAAATGATGGATTTAAACACAAAAATCTAGTCAACAAAGAAGTGTTAAAATGCAGTACAAGCAGAGTAGTGGAGACACTTAGGAGTGGTACCCACGTGATTGAAGTGAAATGTCTTGGTACTTAACCTTGAAGACCAGGCAGCTTGTCCTTGTCTGTAGTGAGCCCCTCAGCTCCCAGATCTTGGCTCTACCTTCCAGCTGATAATGAGGTGCTTAAGCTGGGTCCTGGTGTGGGAGGATCACCATCTGCTCCTGCCTCCATGGATTTCATACATTGCCCTTCTTGAAGTGATCCAGGGCTGAAGGGACCCAGTTGTGTGTACAGGCAGCTAACATGAGGACACCCCGGAGTGTGAAGATGGGTGTTAAAGTAGGCAGCAGGGATGGAAGGAGAGTGCTTTCCAGGATAAAAAGGGCCTAGAAATCCTCCCTGATGCTGCCATGATGGGGAGCACAGGCATCTGCCTTTTAGACAGTGGCTGGCTTGTTGCCTGTTGTCTAGCTCTCTGTTGGCTCTGAGTAGATGAAGACCAGTATTATTGTAGGGACTTTCCCTCGGGCCTAGGGCTTTGCTTTGCTCCGGGCTGGTGCTCAAGCAGTGTTTGCTAGCATCTGCAAGTTTCCTTCCCATCAGAGCTCAGTGTTGCCTTTGATCCCCCCTGTTCTATGGGTGCTTTGTGCCTGACTTTGTGCAGTCTTGAAGGAGGGCACCCAGTAAATACTTATTGACCCCCCCCCCCCCAACCTTAACTCAATGGATTGCATTCCTCGGGGCCCTGTTTGACAACTTGAACAATTTACTTGGAAATGTTTTTGACTTACTGGCTGTAAGCAGTTAGCCCTCTGGATAATACCTGGGTTTTAAGGAGGGATTTTTGCAGCAGATAAGGAATGATACTCTAATAGAGAACTTTTGTCACCATAGTGGGTTGGTTGAATGTTATTTTGTTGATCAGTCTCTTTCCGTTGTGTCCTTCACACTATAGTGCTTGAACAGCTGTCCCAGGGTAAGGTCAGTTGCTTCCTCAGGTTCAAGTATCCATGTGATGATAGATCAATTTGGCAGAGAGGGAATGGAAAGAATGAGCACACACTGATTTCCTCAATCATTCTGGAGTAGAATGAATGGGCTTTAGGGCTGCAGCCTGCTGCCTGGCTTCAAGCTGAGCCTCTGCACTGCTGTGAACCTGTAAATACTATCTCTCCGAGCCATAGCTCCTTATATTTAAAATAAGAATAACACCCACTTGACACAGTTATAATGCACATTTGAGGAAATAAATTATTTTAAGCACTTACAGAGTGTATTACTGAGATGACGCTCCATAACTATTGGTTCTGTTTGTATCAGTGAGTGCCAGAAGAGCTCAGTGGTGCTCTTTTAAGCTCCTAGGAGTTGAGGCTTTGCTAGCCCTGGAATTGTGTTGGGACAGGCACTGGATACTGGAGAAAGGAATACTTCCTTACTGTATGACTTTTAAGAATTACTGGGAAGGCAGAGATACAGTTAAACTACTCTGTTAAGTGACTACTTACTGAGCAGTGCGATTCAGGCAGGACATATCAAAAACTTGAGGTGTTTTATGAGTAAACATGGAACAAATTTGTTCATGTAAGGATATCCCCTGGGTTTCTGTTTATCTTAGGCAGTGGTCTGAACTCTGGTGGCTTACAAGAGGCACATGGGAGCTTCAGGCAAGAATACCTTGAGATTGTGACATTAAATTCCAAATGGTAATGATATGATGGGATGGTTGGCATGGCTGTCAGTCTCCCAAAAGTCTGCTGTGCTTAGATCTGAAGGGTTTTGGTTAGGAAAAGAGCAGAGAATGAACTCACACTTTTCCATAATTGGCATTGATTGGTTCTTGAGTGTGGAGCCCTTGTGACCTACATTTTTCATTGGGTCTCATCTCCTAATACTTTCAAGTTGGGAGTGAAAGTTCTGGGTCCTCTGCAAGAGCTGCAGGTGTTCCTAAGTGACAAGCCATCTCTCTAGACCTACAACATTCCACCTAGGGTTGGATTCGAGACTCCAAGGTCTTGGTGTAAAGCTAACACTGTGGTTAGCAAACACTTTCACAGACTGGATGCTCACATTGATAGTTCCTTCTGGAGGAGTTTGATCCAGTGGGCCCTAGCCCTGATTCCATAGTTCACTAAGCTTTGCTCTTCCTAGTGGTTCTATGCCTTATACAACTTTGTCTGGATTCCCAGGCCATTCAGTACATCCTTTGAAGTCAAGCTGAAGGTCGTAGCTCTTGCATTCTGGGTGGCTGAAGAATTAACATCACCTGGCTGTGGTCAACACTTCTTGTTTGTATCTGTTCTATGACAAAACTTTTCCTAGGGAGATAAAACACCCCAGAATAGGAAGCCCTCAACAGACCAAAGTATGGGTACCATCAAAGTCTAAGTTGGTGAACCATGAATTTTATTGATGGTGCTTACAGGAATATGGGTGAGGGGATACTTACAAGAACAGAGGTGGCTCAAAGACAGCTGCATCACCAGCATCAGTTACAGCTCACAAAACTTGGAACTGGGAACACAGCTCAGCTCCCATAGGCGGGTCAGCAGGTTGAAGAGTGTTCTTTCCAAATAACTAGTCTAAACCTTTCCCAGGCTGCTTGGCTGATTTCTGTTTCTCTCAGGCTTCTGCTCTGGTCTCACAGTTTTTGCCCCTTGGTTTGTTTATCAGGAGGGAGGGGCCTAGTCATTCTGGTCAGTTCCAGGGATTTCCTGAGGCTGTTTTGTGCTGTTTACCTTGTTAAGGAGTTTTTTCAGGAATGACTATTTCAGTCTGGTGGTAAACTGCTACACAGCATCATTAGTACAGTTCCTCATGGTGTGGGGATCCTCCAACTGTGGAATTATTTTTGTTACTACTTCCTAACTGTAATTTTTGCTACTCTTATGGATTGTAGTATAAATATCTGATATGCAGGATATCTGATATGTGAGCCCTGTGTAAGGGTTGTTGCACACCCCCCCCCCCCCAAAAAAAAGGTGATTTTATAGGTCTGTGATCTGTGAACCAGAGTTCAAGCAGAGTCTTAAGGTAGTAGAGGGCAGTAGATACTGGTGGCCTCTGGATGCCTGTCTAGAAACCTTCTCAAGGTTCTGCCCTTTGATGGGATGTGATGGGATGAGCAGCCTTGAAGACCTTTGAAAGGCTTTCAGGAACTTTCTCCATTATCTTCTGAGCTTCCCCCACAGATACTCTTCATGTTCCATTCACAGTGTTATAAACATTTTCTAGTCTTTCTTCTAAATCCTCCAATTCCATCTCATTGCAAGTTCTAAAACTCCCTCTATATTTTCAAGTACTTCATACAGCTACAACCATCTTTATAATTTCCGTTTTCCATCAGTCTGTTACATGCTTCTATGAGACAATACCACAGACTAATTTATAATGAACAATAATGTATTTGGCTCACAAATTTTGGAGGCTGGGAAGTGTATGACCTAGGAATCAGTGTGTGTGTGTGTGTGTGTGTGAGTCCTACGTGCTCCATTATATAGAAGGCGTCCTGTGGGCCAGGGACTACAAAGGAGTTCAGACTTCCACCTTAGGACCTTTGAAGATCAATGTCAGTGCATACATGAGTCTGGAGCCTCTATGATATAACTCCTCCCATTAGGCCCCCTCTTAACAGTATGTTGCCTTGTGGGGGACACCATCAAATTACCACAGTTTGTCGAGGATCATATCCTCAGCCTCTGGTTTTCATGACATTAACTTTTTTCCAGTATCATAAATTATTTTTATACTGTCATTTTTAATAACACTTAAACATTTGACTTAGACTATTTCAGGTAATCTACCCAAGTCTTACCTATCTTCAGTCTGCAGGTATCACGAGTTAGGATCAAGAACTCTATCTGCTTGGCCAGCAGTGTTCTTACTGCTTCAGTGGCATGTATGTCAGTGCTGGTGGATGTTTGTAATCCTGAACAATACAGGGTCATGTATAGAAAGGGTTTTCTATAGAAAGGAAATAAGGATTTAAAGTCAAATATAAACTGAGGGATCACAAGCAAATTAGAAACTGATCTCCATGCTCTCTGTGGTGGGACAGAATGCTAGCTCTAGTGAGACACATGACTGACACCTTTAGATTCTAGTATACATTCCCTTGTCTCTAAAATATTAGCAGTAAACTTCCACCATTTATCCAGTAAGTCTTAAGGTGATTAACTCCAGTCGTTCCCCTGAGAAGGAATGGCATAATGCCATATATTATAAAAGAATGGAATGATAAATAAAAATAATTACGTTTCTTTAAATAATATCCATTGTAGTAATGTTGGCAGCTTTACTTGGAAGTATCTTTCATCTTTACCTCTGACCGGTGCTTCCTTCCTTGATTTACCTAGGAGTTGCTTTGGTGACCTGATGGGTGGATCTGCATTTGTCAGCACGAAAGGCATTGTGCTTCTTTAAAACAATGTTATTATCAGCAGTCTTAGAGAATCTGAAATAGTTGAAGCAGTTACCCTCAATGCCTCTTGAGTCACATTGATTTGTCCCCAGATAACTCATGTGGAAACTCATAACTAAGGAATGTAGGAATTGATGTGAAGACCATCTACACTATGGCAGGCCATTTGTTAGGGGTTTTATACTTCAGACAGGTGCATGAGTTCTGTCCTAGGGTCAGTGCCAATCTTGTTTCTCTGTAAGGAAACATGATTATGTTATCCTGAGGTACATTTTCCTGTTTTAATACTGAAGGTAATTTGACAAAGAAAAACACACAAACACCTGTTTATGTGTCCTGCTGTCTCCATGTCAGACCCTGTCCTAAGCAGCCCTCTCCTTAATTACTAAGTGAAATCTCACTCCAGCACTACAAGTTAGGCTTTCTGGGTATCCCCGTATAAGAAATGGACAGTTTCTTACCAAAGTAATGAGTACCTTGCTTCGATGACAAGTTTCTGCTTGGACATGGGAAGTCCTCGTTGTTAGCACGAATGCTTTCACCATCTGAAGAGCTTCTAAAAAGTGTGACACTTTTCAGCTTTTTGTTACAGCCCAGTACCTGAGATTCTACTTGCAGTGACATGTTGACACAAAACTTAATTATGATAGTTAAACATGCTTGCTTATGTTTGCTTTCTCAGAACATCTCATGATGTCTCATATAACTTATGGTTTGAAGGAGCATCCTAGCAATTTCTGACTGAAAGAATCCATGTGGTAGCCCTACCTCCCTGCCACTCTTACCCACTCCCCCAACAAAAAGCAGCTGTACATGCAGTCACATAGTCAGCTGGTGACAGCCTGGGCCCTAGCTCTTAACCTAGTGCTTGGTTTTTGTTTTTTTTTTTTTTTTTTTTTTTTTTGGCATGGCACTTGACTTCCTTTCTGTTTAATTAAGAAACATACCAAATGTGCTGTCCTGAGCATTTACTGCAGTGGTTCATGCAACCATTCAGGTTTTTAATGTGGGCTCAGGGGACTTGAATTCAGATCCTTTTAAATGATAAGGAATATTTAATTAAATGAACAGTTGTAACTATTAGCCTTGTTCATAAATTCCCATAGACAAAATCTTTTATTCACCTTTACTTGGAAAATGCCTGTTGGTGTGAGGTCGCTGCAGTAGAGAAGGCAGGAGCCGGCGCAGGAGTGACAAGGCCCAGGGACTTGGAGTTTAAATAAGGTGAGCATAGATGGTAGTGCCCTTGCTCTAGGGCATGCACTTGGCAGCCCTAAGCTGTACATGTGTAGGGCTGTCAGTTTACAGATGTTCTAGTTAAAGCTGTACCAAATAGGATTCAATGACTGTGATTCAGCTGACAGGGTGTCTTCTGAACTTGCTTTGCTGCTAGATGAAGCAGAGTCTCTCTTCTTCAGGAGATTCAGAACTAGTCACTGGAAGGAAACACCTGCAAATGCTTTCTTGTGGGTTGAGCATACATGTCCATGTCGGGGGCCTGCTTTATCACCTCAGCCTAGATCCTTGAGACAGGGTCTTCCGCTGTACCTGGAGCTAGGGTGGGAACCTAGGAAGTCCCATAAATTCTTCTGTCCCTCCCACAGTCATGGGATTGCAGGTGCATGCAGCTGTCCAGGTCTTTCACGTGGGCTCGGGGGACTGGAATTCAGATTCTTATGCTTGGTACAGCAAATGTTCCTACTCATTGAACCATTTGTGCAAATCTTTTGTGGAGATGGAAGAGATGTGCTACAGACTACTGAGAGGAGCTCCATGAGCTGTGGGTGGAGGATGGAGGGTGAAGGATGAAGGGTGGAGGGCTTCCTTAGGAATGAAGCATTTTCAAGCAATGCCAGCAATGGAAAGTGAAATGTTGGCAGAGAATGACAACAGCTCATTTTCTGCTGTTCCTTCCTGCCTTCCCCAGAGCATTGTTGTAAGTGCTCAGGTAAAAACTAGTTTCTGCAGGATAGAGGAAGCTGTCTTGCCACTGAAGAGCCAAGAGCTCAGGACTGTTTGATAGCCTGTGTCTATGGTCATTGTGTTTGGGATTCTAAGACAGGGTAAGTGCTTCCAGTGGTTTCCCCTTACCTCTGTCTGCAGAAGTAACTAACAGTTCTCTGCTTGCTCAGACTTTGGCCTGGGCAGAGGTGCATCTCTGTGAGTGTCAGGAGTGAAACAAACTTGGTTTGAGACCAGGTAGACATGTCCTTGGGCCATTTTACCTTATCAAGCTCCCACCCCCAGGTTTATCATTGTTCTTGTTAGCACCTGAGAGATGGAGCTTGCCCTGTGTCTCACAACAGTGTCTGGATCTCCTCTGTAGGCACCCCTTATTCCTGACCTCTCCTCCTTTTTTCTTGTGCTTGTTACCAGTACTTTTTTGCATTTCCTTCATCTTCAGTTAACCAGATCCCATCTGTTTGCTCAGTTACTCTTCCCAGTGCGCTAAGTGCACAATAGGTACTCTGCAGTTATTAACAGAGCCCTTATAGAAAGTGTGGAGATATTCCTTGTGTCTCCGAATATGCATAGGAACCCTACATTCCTAGGTACTCAGCAAGTTGTGCTAGGTGCTGTTGTTACAAACCAAACACGTCTTAGTCTTCATGCTGTGACAGTTCATATGAAAATGGAGGAGAGAAGACTTGAAAGCCCAGAAAGTCTCCTCAGTTTTTGTGTCCTGTGAGAGCCTCACAGAGGCACCAAGAGTTTGAGTTTGAACATCCTTAATTTAAAAAAATTCATTTCTTAAATTTATCCTGTGTATGTGTATGTCAGAGGACACTTTGTGGAATTGGTTTCTCCTTCTGTCATGTGTGTTGCCAGGATTGAATTCAGGTCATTGGATTGGTAGCAAGTGCCCTTACTCATGAGCCATCTCACCAGCTAAACTTATTTTATATAAAACAAAGCAGTAAGAACAGTAACTACATTTGAGTGCTGCATGAAACCCTGCGATGAAGTCAATTCTTTTCAGTTTTTACAAAGTCCTGGAAGGTAAGTCTCTGAGCCCCAGTTTCCCTCATGAAGTCAGGTGGTTAAGTGACTTCCCCAGAACAGAATAAGAAATCTAAGGAGCCCACAAGAGCCTTACTATACCAACCATGGGAGTGTATCAGTGGTCTGGGTGCATTTCAAAAGGACCTGTCATCACATTTCTAAGGATCTCCTGCTCCACATTTGTCCTGCATATGGCCTCAAAGCCACTTTTGTCTGGGAAGGAAGTCTGGGTAATTTTGCAAGAGTCTTGCCCAGGCTTCTGGGGAAAGGGTAAGGTAATCTGTTAGGGACTTCCCCCCCTTTACTGTCACACCTGTGGACATTACTGTCTATTCTGGAAGCCAGAGGAAGTACCCCAGAAAGTTGATTCATGACCATGTCTCTCTCTCTGCAGGTTCTCATCCTCTCCCCTGCCCCACTGTGATACAGGATGCCTTTCAATGGCGAGAAGCAGTGTGTGAGCGAGGACCAGCAGAGTGATTCCGAGTCTTCGCGGTTCTCCGAAAGCATGGCTTCGCTCAGTGACTATGAATGTTCCAGGCAGAGCTTTACCAGTAATTCCTCTAGCAAATCCAGCTCTCCTACCTGTGAGCAGTGGGGAGCAAGGCGGGGTGGCAGTGTGCTGGCTGTGTGTATAATGGCTTTGAAACTCAGAAGTGCTGTGAGCACATCACGTGTCCCCTTCTTTCTAGACGCACCACCATAGTGTGCCAGAGCCACTGTACAGGTCTTCCTTCCGGTGTCCTTAGGAACAAGTTTGTAATCTCATGTCATTTTGAGCCTTATCTCTAACCTGTTTGCTTTTTATAACATGGATCTAAACCCTATACCCAGCCCTGTCTATCTTGTCTCCTAAATGTTGGGAGCAGCCCTTCTTGAGATTACCTTGCGCAGGTTAGGATGAAGTCAAATTAGTCTTTCCTGTTTCATATTGAAGGAAATTTGCCTTTCCAGAAGGGTGGACAGGAAGTAAAATAATCTAAAGAGGGCGTCTCTGCTGATTTCAACCAGTGTTGTGCAATCCCCCCCCCCCCAGATGAATCCACAAGGAGAATTACTCTACTGTGGGTTGTGAGAGAGCCAGAAGAGTGGCCCTCACTAGGAGAGACAGCTCTCTTCCTCCTCCTCCTTCTCCTCCTCCTCTTCTTCCTCTTCTTTTTCTTCTGCCTGTGGACACAGGAGACGTGTCAAGCAGGTGTTTTGGTTTAATTTTTCCTTCCCCTTCCCAAGATTTCACTCTGTAGCCCAGTCTGGTTTGTTACCTGTGGCTGTGTGGTCCTCCTCAGCCCCCTGAGGGCTGCAATTGTAGGTATGAACCACTATTTCTGATTGTGCCTTTTTTTTTTTTAAAGTTTTGAATTAGCATTTTGTTTATAAAGAGCATAACATCATAAACTAGCAAAACTAAGGTAGGAAAAAGCAACTGATCTTCAATAAGATCAGATCCCCACTTAAACAGTTTTGTTTATTTTTTTATGTTACCAGTTTTAAACTTGGAAAATTGATTGTATAGAGAAAAGAAGGGATTACTTGCAGCAACAGCTGCCAGCACGTTGCTAAATCATCATCCTTCACATAAGACTCCTACCTTCAGCATTGTAACCAAGCACTTACTCATGATGGACTATGTCCCAAACACTGTTCTGGTGACCACCTGCTCTGTCATGAAGTAAATAGACTGCACATTTATTCACTGATTAGTCATTGGATGGTCAGTTTCCATCTTTTTTTTTTCTCTTTTATAAATGGGGTTTTATGAGCATTCTGATGCATTGAGAGTTTCTGGATATGATGGATGAGTGGACCACAGAATACAAATGTTTTTAAGGAGAATCTAGAAACTCAACAGCAGCCATGTAATTCTGCATTTGTTCTTGTTCTTGACACTGTCTAGAGTCTTTTGATACAATAGTACTTAGGCATTCTGAAGAAGGGTTTGCCAGTTCCCAGGGTCAGCCTTCTCTGTCATCCACCTCTACCTCAGTGCTTCCTCTCCCTGCCTCCTCTAAAACAAACAAGCAGCAAACCGGAAAGCATTGCCTATCTGCATTTTTATATGAGGTCATGATTTTTAATTCACTGAAGCTGAGATTTTTCAGCAGTGATTTTGTAAGCTTGATTAATCAGAACAATTTCTTAGTATAATATCTAGAAATAACTCTTTACTATTTTTCTAATTAGTAGATAATCTAACCTCTCACATATACTGTTAAGCTTTAATTATGTACCAAGTTCCTCCTATGTTCTTTACTAAATTGCCTGGCGGTGTTGGTGCCCATCTTTAATTCCAGTGCTCAGGAAACAGAGGTAGGTGGATCTCTGAGTTCAAGGATAGTGAGTTCCAGGACTACATGGAGAAACCCTGTCTTGGAAAAAAGTACTGCTGCTGCTAATGGTGATGATACGACGATGATGATGATGGTCGCTCACCTCAGAGGGAGCCTGTTAGGGGTCAGTATATCTGTTAGTGGAGTCAGCTGGACTAATAAATGGCAAAAACTGGAATGGAACTTCAGCCTTACACTGAACTGCCTATACAGTTAGGAAGTTTACAACCTTATCTACCAGTCTACTGTGTAATGTAGGTAAACACATATGGATAAGCATTGAAAGGAAGTTATAACAGACCTATATTAAAGAGTTTGTCTTAGGAGCATTTGAAAATTTATTATCAAGTATGGTAACTAGAGTTACAGAAGTAGTGCTTTCACATTTGAAATCTTTATCAAGCCCACTCTGTTTCTAGTGCACATCCTCTAACTTGTGAAACCCTGATATTCACCTGAGATGAGCCTGACTTGACACTGGGAGACTTGTGCACGACAGTTTCTCCTCTGTTGCATTAGCTGACTTTATTTTTCTTTCAGCAACTAGCCCTCCCAAGGGTGTAATGTTTGATGATGTGATGACTGCAGCAAAGAACTTATCAGACATGACTCTTGCTCATGAAATAGCTGTAAATGAGAACTTCCAGTTGAAGAAAACTGCCCTTCCAGAGAACAGGTAAGCTGGAATCTTGTGCTGTGTGTAAATGATGCTGGAGATTCTCTCTGTCTCTCTGAGTGTGTCTCTTCTCTGTCTCTGTCTTTCCCTGTGTGTGTGTTCATGTGTGTTTCTGTGCATCACTGATTTCTGGAAATTCTTGTATAGTATCCCCAGGGGATAAATGTTATTCAGCTTTCTTACAAGGTCTTTTATTTGTTGACTGAAAAGTACCTCGACGTACATTTACCCAGAGTCTTTAGAAATCAATTTATACATCATTTTCTGAGAAAAAAGGAAAACTTGTCTTGATATTCCTGAACTTCTTAGACTACAGTTACCTCTTTTGCTGTAGTCTCCACCAACCCCTTTTTGTTAAAAATGTTACAACTTTCTTTAGTTTTATATTTGTGGGTGTTTTGCCTGCATGTATGTCTGTGTACCACATGTGTACCTGCTGCTCCAAGAAGGAGCATATGTAGGCTTCCCTGGAGCTGGAGTTTTAGACAGTGAGAGCCTCCGTATGGGTGTTCGGGACCAAACTTGGATCCTCTGAAAGAGTAACCAGTGTTCTTTACTAAGGAGCCATCTCTCCAACCTTAGAGTTTATACTTTTGAAAGTATAATTGACATATTTTTATTAGGTACTGTCTTTAGGGAAAACCTGGTAAAATTAGATTTCTGGCATATAGCAGGAGTGCTTACAAATGATTTGGTTAATCATTTGAAGCATCTTCTCAGATGCTTCTCCAGAACATAAAGAAGGTAAAACATATATTTCAGCCTTATGCAGATGTAAATGTAAGCTGCTGATACTCGTTAGGGAGCTGTGAGATTGTTCAGCTCATTCCTTCTTAGCCCATTCCGGTCAGGTAAGTGTGGCCTGTGAGGTCAGGAGCTCAGAGATGTTTGTCCTGCCTCCTTTGTCGTTGTTCTAAAGCTGCCTGGGGGAATTGTAGGCACTGGAAAGGGAGATTTCTGTTAAGGAAATCTCCTCAGTCAGTAGCATAAATCTGAATATTTAAAGTGTCTAAGTTGATTTTGGTTTGCAGTTACAGGGACATTTAACTCACACTCCTCAGAAAGCCAGTTTTCATCATTCATAGTGCCGCTATGTATTTAGCTGTTTTGACTTGAAGAAAAAATTAGGAGATACACTTAACTCTCAAAATTGTTAACTCACTCAGTAGGCATTCATTGGTTACTTACTAAATGACAGGCATGAAGGGGTTGTGATAAATGCCTGAGAAATGTAATGCTTGCTAGCAAAAGAGGCTCCTTGGTAGTTAGGTAGTTAGGAAAATTAATGGTTTTCTAAAAACTTGTTGTTATCTTAGTAAGTTATGTTGGGACTAATGAGATGTCTCAGGCTGCCAAGTCAGACAGCCTGAGTTAACTTGGGTTTGCTCCACAAGACCCCACATGGTGGAATGAAGGAGAGAACCAGCTCCTGGGAATGTTCTCTTTATGCATGCTATGCACTCTTTTTCTCTGTCTCTCTCTGTGTGTATGGTATGTGTGTTAAAAAAAAAAAAAGTATGGTTAAGGCTTCTGTGGGAATGTATTGACTTAAGAGATTGAGGAAGTCTTGTGAGCTCTTCCTGGGAATTCTATTTCAACAGTTTAGTCCTGGCTGACGTTAAATGGGACATCTTTGTAGGAGATGGCAGCCATTTAAAAGCATGTTTCCTTGGGACCAACTGTTCTGTCCCTCACCATGAAACTTCAGCTATTGAAGAAAGCAATGCTGTTACCTATCCCTAAAATTCAGAGCTGTATAGAAGACTATCTACTAAAAACATACCTTCTTAGGACAGAATGTTTTGAAGTTGTTGAAAGATAGGCTAAGGAAACATTTTAGATTTTGGGGGTGGGGGGAACAACATGAATCTCTAAGTGAAAAAAAAGTATTTTGTTGTGTATATTGGGTATTTGTAATGTGTGTGTCTGTGTATGTGTTGATGTCTGTATTAGTACATGTGTACATGGAGGCCACAAGATGGCATCTGAGTCCTTGGAGCTGGGTTACAGGTGTTTGTAGGACACCTGGCTTGTTAAGGAGGGTTCTGATACCTGACTTCTGATCCTTGTGATACATAAGTGTTCTTAACCTCTAAGCCATCTCTCCAACCCGGTGTTCTTTTTTGTGGAAAAACAATGCCCATGCTTTATACAAGCACAATATGCTAAAAGATTAATCATGAGCTTAAGGGTTTTTTGTTCAGGTTTTTTTTTTAATACAGCATTCTGCCTACATGTGTGCCTGCACAGCAGAAGAGGGCACCAGATCACATTATAGATGGTTGTGAGCCATCATGTGGTTGCTGGGAATTGAACTCTGCACTTGGAAGAACTGCCAATGCTCTTAACCTCTGAGCCATTTCTCCAGTCCTGTTCAAGATTTTTAAAAATGTGTTTTCCAAGAACTCTGTGTGAACATGTGTCTTTTAATGCTCGTTTTAAAATAGTTCATTTCATTGCTGTAGCCTTGCAGGTCAAGTGAAGCATGTTGTTCACCAGGCCTTCTGGGATGTCTTGGAAGCAGATCTCAGTGCTGAGCCTCCCCAGTATGAATATGCCATCAAACTGTTTGAAGAAATCAGAGAGGTAAGTTGATGTTTGTACCACGAATGCCTTAACCCACTGGGATCAGTGTAATGGGTACCAAAAGTGGACAGCTTATCAACAGTAGAAATTCCTTACAGTCTTAGAGAGTGAGAAGTCTGAGACCAAAGCATCACCAGATTTGCTGCCTGATGAAGGCCCGTTTCACAGGGGAATCCTTCTTGCTATATACTTACACAGCAGAAGGGGGTAAAGAACCCTTTGCCGTCTCTTCCATAAAGGCATTATCCCACTCATGATAACCCCACCCTGGCATAATCACCTTTCACCTTGTGTTTCAGCATGTGGGCATGTGCAAATACATCATAACAGTTGTTTTCCTCCCCCAAAGATTGTTTGTTGTCTTTGTATCACCAGTCATTTTAAAAGGCTGAGTACAGTCAGCTAACCCATAGATTCTTTTGTGCGCTTTCTATAGTTAAGTAGAATCCAGGGAGACAAAGCAGCAGACAGAGCTCAGGGCAGTACTTCGAGCACAAACATAAGATTTGAGCATTAGATCTGGGTTAGTAATGGGCCCACCTTCTAAAAATGCCAGTTTCTTGAATGTTTACTGGGTAGTTGTAAATGAGATGATGGCAGTTGTTTTCAGTGACATTTAACAAGATGCTTGGTCTTTACCATACACTGTAGTATTATTTTATGTATATAGCTCTCTAACTCACCCAGGGTCACCAAGTTTTGAGGTCAGAGGGATTTGAGACTGTCAGGCACAGAACTTTTTTATCCCCAGCCATTACTGTGTATGTAGCTCGGAGTCCGTTAACTGTCGGCTTGTATAATATCTGAGTGCAAAGGATTCCTCATGGACTTACAGGGTTGAGTGTCATCTACTCTTGAGTATTTCTGGAGCCATCGTTTTCTCTCTGAGGGCTTTTGGAAGTGTTCAGGCTCTGCTTCCTTGCCACTTGTTTTCATTCTGAAACATCAGTCCTTACCACAGTGGTGGCTTTTGACCCAGCAGAGTAAGCTTTCTTGTCAAGGTTGAGACACTGAGTGTCTCTGATGTGCTGCCAGGCAGAGAGATGGCTTGCATCATGGGGGTGCTGCAGTGTGATGGGAGAGCATCTTCATCTGTAACAGCACTACTGACTCTCCTTTCCCTCTGCAGATTCTTCTTTCTCTCCTCACTCCTGGTGGGAACAGGCTTCACAGCCAGATCTGTGAAGTTCTGGATATCGACCTCATTAGACAGCAGGCTGAGCACAATGCTGTTGACATCCAAGGTCTGGCCAGCTATGTCATCAACACAATGGGAAAAATATGTGCTCCTGTGAGAGATGAAGATATCAGAGAGTTGAAGGCTACTACCAACATTGTGGAGATGCTGAGGTTAGCCCTTTTTCTGTATGCATTTTCTTAAAGTGTCTTTGCATTTCTTCAAAAGAGACCTGGGAGTAATAGCCTTCCAAAGCAGTTGTGATGCCAGGGGAAAAGAAAAACGGTGCCAGTCAGTCCTTGACAGAGTGTGTAGAATTTTCTAGCAAGGTTGTTAGTCTGCATGCAATGGGCCCTGAGGATCCAGTAATAAAAACAGCATTTCTGGCCCCATTGGTATAGAGTGAAAGGGAGAAACAGACGTTGAACAATGAACTGGAGAGTAAACAGTTGATCCGGCAGCTATTGAAGGAGTTCTAGAGCGTAGAGCTTTCAGCAAGGGTGTCCTAATGGAGTCAGGGTTAGAGGAAGCCATATGCATTGGTATGTGTCATTAGCTACTATTGAATTCTCAGTGATTTCATCAATAAAATTTTGTATCATTGTCTCACTCTAGGATTATTGGTCAGGCAGCTCTCCACTTGCCTTTTGGGGACATAAAACTCCTCTGTCCTTGGCTGCCCCTCACCTAGCTTGTGATATTTTCTCCATTCAGCTACAAGTGGGAAAAGACTGTGGGACATCAGTGTGCAACCTCATCCCCAAAGAGGCATATCCCCTTGACTTTGACTGCCCACACGGTCCCACACAGATTGAAGTCCCAATCATAGCCTCATATCCGCCAGGAGATTGGTGGTCAGCCATCCAGCTCTGCTAAAGTTTCTCCAGAGATGTGAGGTTCATGCTCATGTCTGAATATCTTGTCTAGCACTGTAGATAATAGCTTCCTTGTGATTCCAGAGGACATACTGTGAGCCACTATTGCCATTGAAGGGAACTATATTTTTTTTTTATGAATAAAAGTCATATTGAAGATTGAGTTTTATGTCATGGTTTTAGGAAGCAAAGATGAAAACTGGTCTGTATGTAGAAGATAATTTCATTTGTAGCTTGTAGCAAGTTGACAGTTTCTCAAGGTATCTGTACAATAGGCTTTATATGTTTGTAGAATTGTGCTGAGTTCTGGAAAATTATAGAAGCTCTGCTTCCAGTTACCAGTATTACTGGCAAATGATGTCAAATCTCCAGTGCTTATTTTGGTGATAGTTGCCTACTCGATGCCACATTTTTTTAATCCACCGAGTTTAGTTAGAGTTCCTTGCGTACGCATGGGTGGAGCTATTTGCCAATTTGCAGGAGCACTGGTAACTCACCAGTACCACAATCACTGAAGAAAATGCTACCCCCAGTTCTGACAACCATTAACTGCTAACAGTTCCTAAGCAGGGGTGGGACTCCATGGATACCTCCTCTATTAATTTTGGAATGTTGAAGGGACCCAGTCTTGTATCCTTCACCCACTGTGTCTGAGGTTGAGAGCAGCATTAATCTCTGAGTATAAACACAGATATTTAGAAGGCAGTTTGACAAATGCGTATATTTAGTCAAACAACATTAGGGTCCCTCTATGTCATGTGACCTTCCAAGTCATAGTATCAGCTGTATATTCCCTTTGTGAAGTAGGCCTTAAATCCAATCAGGAGGCAGTTGGTTACCCAGTAAACAGTTATGCCACCTCAGCCCAGCAGATCTGTATTGTAGCCTGTAGGCTTCACAGCTAGATAAAATCATTGATGATTTTTCTCCTCCAGCAGTCTGGGCAGAATCTTTTAACACTATGTAGCCAGAGGGAGCTTCCCTCTTAGTTCCAGCTTGATTTCTTTATTTTGACAAAGTGTACAGAATCTTTAGCAGTAGAATCTAATTCTAATTCTGGTAGAAAACCAAGAGCAGTGGCAGTAGCCTGTTGTTTTGGGGGAAATTTGGGGACCTTTCTGGGCAACAACTCAGAGAGAGAGGTTCTAATCCTAACAATGGGATTTTGGGTTAAGGACCCATGGCTTCTGGGAGCAGCATTACCCATTCATGTGGGATTCCAGGCTTTTTTTTTTTTTTTTTTTTTAATTGGGGATTTTTAGTTAGCTTATAAAGCAGTGAGTTTTATATAGATTTTAATACATCTTTTTGTTACACACCCCCAGGTCCATCCCTGTTTAAACATTTTCACACATGTCTCCCCCTCCCCAACTTTCATATCCTGTATGTTTTACTATCGCATCCTCTTAGGCCTTCTGCAACTTCCTGGCTTATTTTTTGGTTCTTGACCTTTGCATACACTTATACAACACAAACACATAAATCTCAAAAGTCTAAGCTAGGATCTTTACATGGGAGAAAACATGAAGATTGTCTTCCTGGATCTAAGTCACTTCATTCAGTAGAATGTTTTCCAGTTACATGCATTTTCCTGTGCATTTTATAATTCTATATATTTTTTCTATATATGTTTCTCTTGTGTAGCCTTGGCTGTCCTGGATTCGCTTTGTAGGCCAGGCTGGCCTCAAACTCGCAGAGATCTGCCTGCCTCAGCCTCCCAGAGTGCTGGAATTACAGGCATACACCACTATGCCCAACTCATAATTCTGTTTTTGTTGTTGTTGTTTTTTGTTTTTAGCAATTTAGTAAAATTTTATAGTATAAGTCAGTGGTTCTCAACCTGTGAGTCACAACCTCTTTAGGGTTCAAACAACCCTTTCACAGGGTCACCTAAGACTAGTAGAAAATACAGATGTTTACATTATGGTTCATAACAGCAAAATCACAGTTATGAAGTAGCAACAAACATAATTTTCTGGTTGGGGTCAGCAGCACATGAGGGGCTGTATTAAAGGCTGCCAGCATTAGGAAGGCTGAGAGCCACTGGTGTCAGTTGGCTCCATTTTCATTACTCACTCATCAGTTAACAGTTACATAGGCTGGCTCCATTTCCTGGCTGTATGTATAAAGCAGCAATGACCACGAACACTTCCTAGACTTGTCTTTTCATTATCTCACTACTGTTCATAACACCCTTCCAAGGGGATTGCCTCCTCTTTTCATCATGAGAAACAGAGGCACAAAGAGATTGAGGAATAGTGCGTGACCATAGATATGGTCAGTTGAAAAGCTGAATTTGAGCATAGGACTGACTGCTTAGCCTAAAAAACAACTTTTCCCCAATGCCTCACTGCCCTGTCCTTTCATTTACTTAGATGTTTTTATTCTTTCCTGGTAGTAGAATCCTATGCATTGTGTTCAGGCTTCTTCAAATCACAGTGGGTTTCTCAGTGGTATTGTCAGTATTTACCACAGTAGATGCTCTTGCAGTATCTGGAGGAGATGTTTAGAATACATATGTATAACCTTCCTTGAAAAATGACCCTGGTGAATGATCTTTGACACCTCAAGAGCTTCAGATGTTTTTCAAGAGGTTTATCTCATCCAGCCTCTGACATATAGATAGTAATGGTCAGTTTCAACTGAACTTCTTAACCACTTCTTTGTTTCAATTCCAAAATTTTTAGACAAATATTCCGTGTCTTGGACCTCATGAGAATGGACATGACAAATTTTGTCATTAAGAATATCAGACCTCACATTCAACATAATTTGGTGGAATATGAAAGAAACAAATTCCAGGAAATTTTAGAAGAAACTCCAAGTATGTATAATATGATGTGTGCTTATATCAAAAATTTTTCAAAATAAGATTCTGTAACTTTTGTGCTTGTTCATGTTGTGTTACTAAAGAGCTTAGGCTTTCCTGTTAATGGAAACATGTTTTAAGCCTCTTAAAAGTTGATGCCAAAAACTTCTAGTTGTTTATTCTATCCCAGGAAATGTGCTGAGTACATCTTATTTTTCCATTTATTTGTTCCATACATGTTTGTTGAGAATCTGCTGTATCTTTATTGGGAAGGCATGACAGACGAGCATAAACTCTCAGATGTATTATTATAGAGTAAACAGTAGCAGGACAGAAATGAGGGTGGAGGTGTTTGTAAAAGAGGCAAGGCTTCTTTAGTATGTAACATTTGAGCAAAGTTTGCTAAGAACTATGGAAGGGGTATGTGCAGGTTGAGGGAAAAGGACTTTCTGGCCATAGGTTGCTGCAAGAAGAGAGACCCTGAAACACAGACTCATTTTTGATGCTTGGCATGGGCAAAGCAGATGTTACCAAAGGGAGATCAGTCAAGGAAGGCTAGATGGGCTATGGGCTGAGAGGGAAACAAAAGCAGATCATCGTATGATGATATCTAGAACATTGCTGTTTTAATGAGTCATTGGAGAGTCTTGAGCAGGAGAGCAGCATATGAATTTTACTTTTAGAATATGTTTTCTGCATGGGGAATAGATTGCATGGGAGCAAAGAGGGAAGAACATGAAGTTGCCTCCTACTTTATAAATGGGGAAAACGAGGCATAGAGAGGTTAAATTGTTGCTTCTGTATCACAGCTTATGGAGCTGGCCTCACCCAGGCAGACTCGCACAGTCTGTGCACTCATCACTTATTACATGGGGTAAGATGGCCTTAGGGAGTGAGTGTAGATGCTGAGGGGACTGGCTGGGGCATCTGAGCATCTAGAGGTGACATAGCAGGAAGATCAGCAATAGAGACTAGGAGAGTAGTCAGGGGAGTAGCACAAAAATCAAGAGGGGGCATCTGGCAGGGCAAATGGAGAAGCGTGCGTGGATGTGACAGGAGACGAAGGCCAAGACTTGACCAGTGATGATTATTGATCACTTTGATGGGAGCAGTTTTAGTAGTTTATGACTGGAGGGGAGACAGAGAGGGAGGGGACTGAGCAAATACGACCTCCTTCAATCAAATAGCCAGTAAGGTGGGTCCTGTTACCCTTTATTTTTCCAGTGAAGAGCTTGAGGTGCCATGGCAGCTAGCAAGCAGCTGTGTTGATTGGGATTTTGTTAGCTGTGATTGAAGGCTGTTGGGTGGCCTACCTTCCCCTTGACCTACCTTTAACAGGCTGATATTTTTTTTTATTACAATGATAACACAGAAGCATTATGTAAACAGAGCACAATGGACGCTGCTTTTAAATGGGCTTATACAATGGCAGCACAGGAGCACATAGATTGTGCAGCCACATGGAGAACATGAAATTAGGTGTGTTCTCCTTAGTAACAAGGTCATGATACCACATTTCCTTGTGATCACAATTTAGAGACCTTTATTAAGCTCTGTAGAGCAAATTAAAATCTTTACAAGGAAATAAATGGACAGGTGTTTTGGCCTTCCCAGTCTTTGGAGCTGTTTGCATTGTTGGATAGTCATCTTTCTATTGCTGGTGGTGATGCTGTGACCTTTGTCAAACTCTTTGACTGCTTCATTCAAGTTTGTGAGAGGTTGATACTGTCCTCACCTATTTACATATGGAAATCTGAGGTTAAATTAATAGGCCCTAGATGATGTCAGTGGGTAATATAGCCTAAATAACCCAGATGTTTCTCTGCCTTAGAGCATGGTGTGTGCCATTTTTTTTCTTTTGGCTTTATTCAGATAGGGTTTCTAGCCCTAGTTGTCCTGTAACTTGCTCTGTAGACCACCAGGCTGGGCATGAACGCAGAGATCTGCTTGTCTCAGCTTCCTGAGTACTGGAGTTAGAGGGATAGGCATTTTAACAAGTGCAGCCCTGCCTCTCCTGGAACTGTCAGTGGGGCAAATTGCAGTGGGTGTCAGCTCTCCCTGGGACAAGATGATGACCAAAGATTCTTTAGTAATAGAAGTTCTGTGACTTCAAATACTCCATTTTAGCTCTATTGAGATAAGGATTGGAAAGAGAAAAGAAAGAGAAGCCTGCACTTGCCTTGGTTCTTGGTATCAGCTTCCTGAGACCGGGTTGTAGGCTCATGTGTGCTTGTGCACAAATGCAGATTTGTTTCCAGTGCAGGCCGCTGCAGGGCTCGGGCAAACTCCTCAGTACATGCTTGACTCTAGTTTTGTTTATCTCAAATCACTCGCTTCTTTTCCATAGACGTAAGAATACTGCAAAACCAGTTATGCTTAGAATTCATTTTTGGTTAGAGAATTCAAGAGTGCAGGAAGCAGAGTAAGTGTTAGTTACTTATATCCCAAGTCACCCTGCCAAAAGTTGGTCCCTGCCATAATATCAAAATAAGAGTCTCACATGAAGCATTAATACAGGACACAAGTCTTACTGGAGTTTTCGGGGTGTGTGTGTGTGTGCGTGTGCGCGGGGACATCTTGCAGGATTCAGTTCTCTCCTTCAAACACAGGGATCTCAGGGATGAAACTCCAGTTGCCAGGTTTGGCAACAGCTGCCTTTCCTGTTGAGCTGTCTCCCTGGCCCAAGGTGTATATGATTTGTATATATTTATAACTAAATAGGGGGGGGGGAATTCAAAGTAGTTTGAGTTCTGAATTAATTTCAGGATAAAATTTCATTTTGCCAAGGAGAGATATAACAACTTATTTGGAATATACTCAGAAAAGCTTAGGCAGTGATTAGATGCATATGCTAAGTATTAGTAAGGTAATGTTGGGCATAACAGCTGAGTTGCCCTTAGGAATAATATGGGATTATCTTTAAAAAGACAGTTTTGTTTATTTAGATAATAAGATCTGATAAGATTTTCTAATGCACTTATTTCATATTTTTAAATACCAATGAAATGTATCAAATCCCATTATGATTATCTGGGCCAGACACATAAAGCAATTTAAGAACTGTTTTTTAGGTTTATTTACTTATGTATATGAGTGTTCTGTTTTTATGCATACCAGAAGATAGAATAAGATCCCATTACAGATGGTTGTAAGGTACCATGTGGTTGCTGGGAATTGAACTCAGGACTTCTGGAAGAGCAGCAGCCAATGCTTTTAACCTCTGAGCTATCTCTCCAGCCCCAGCAAGTTAGGAACATTTTAAAGAGAACTCTGGTGGTTTGAATGAAAATGGTTCCACAGGCCCATAGAGAGTTGCACTATTGGGAGGTGTGGCCTTGTTGGAGGAAGTGTGTCACTGGGGGTGGGCTTTAGGATTTTAGAATCCCAATCCAGGTCCATTGTCAGTCTCTCTTCCTGCTGCTGATTAGGATGTAGAACTCCCAGCTACCTCTCCAGCACCATGTTTGTCTGTGTGTCACCATGCTTCCCACCATGATGATAATAGACTAAACCTCTGACCTGTAAGCCAGCTCCAATTAAATGTTTTCCTTTATAAGAGTTGCTGTGGTCATGGTATCTCTTCACAGCAATAAAACCCTAACTAAGGTAAACTCTAAGCCAGACAGTGTCAAGCATGTCTGTAATTCCAGAACTCAGGAAACTGGGGCAGGAGGATTGCTGTGAGTTGGAGGACCATTTGGGCTATGTATTGAGTATCAGAGTGTTAGGGTTATACAACACGATCCCCATCTCAAAACAAAAGGACAGCAGCCAAGACAACAACAGACAGGAGGAGGAGAATGCACTGATGCCTAGCAGGGACCTCAAAAATCACTCCAAATAAAGAGCAGAGTGGCGGAAGCCAGGCCTCTCAAATGTAAGGCCAAGCCAATCTGTGGCTTTTATCTGTTTCTTTGAATTTTCTCTTTTGTGTTATATTAGCTGGATTGTGATACAAACTACAGAAGCCAATCTAGCTAAAAAAAAAAAAAAAAAAAAAAAGGTGGAAGGATGAGGACTGTTCTCAGAATAGGAAGAACAGCTAAAATGCATGAGCCACACTAGGGCAAATTAAGGAAAGCCAGAGTATGTCAACAGATGGGGTAATGTTTGCTTCAGACAAGGGCCATGCCTGAACGGTCTGACAACATTGAGTCCCCAGAAAGAGCCCAATGGACATAAACTTAGCTGAGCCAACCTCTCGCTAGGGAGTCCTCTTAATTGATAATTGGAAAAGAAGACATAAAAAAAAGGCATAACAAAGAATAGATGTTTTTCTAACTGAAATTAGAGCACTGTCCAAAATTGGGAGCACTAGATGTCACTGTCATAGCACTGCATGTTCTGCTTCCCTCTCCAGGGGAAGTGCCTCCAGAGCTTCAGCTGTATTCATCTGTGAATGCCCAGTGCTTGGTACAGTACCTGTCATATAGAAGGTCACCAGTAGTTACCACAGAATAGATGAGCAAATTGAGAAGCTTTACCAGTCTCCCCAAGACTTTTGGAGGTTACAGGATACCTCACCTGTGGACCTTACATTTGGGGCCATGGAACAGTCAGTGTACAGGCTTTCAGGAGTGAAATGTCGACATGGAGATCAGTATAGATATTTCAGTGTAAACCCATGTCGTCTGTAGTTCTGACTGTCTGTCAGTGTGACCTGGGCATTTAAATACCCATTCCCAAGCCTTAGACAAAGAAGTCACAAACTCCAGGAGCTGGGAGCTGTGCACAGAATGGTTGTTTTTCTTTTTAAATCCCCTGGGTGATTCTCAAGGCAGCCAGAATTTGGATCTACCAAGCTACACTGTGGCTTTAATTGGAGATAACTGGACATGTACTGTGTCAGCTGTGAATGATTAAATGTACAGTCTAAATGCTGATTAGCCATCACGCTGTATCTCCACTACACTTTCTCTGTTGGATATCTTTCAAATAAAACACCTTTTCTATCTTTATAAACGGGGCAATCAAACCAAGAGAAGTGTTTGTCACTGAGAAGAAACAGGCCTGAGATTCTGGAGGTGGTGTGGCTTCAGTGTAGCAAACAGCACCAGTCATAAGTTACCGCTGTTGAAGTACCCCACTTCAAGGAAGAATTGCAATCTGCTCTTTATTTTTTTCTATTGTTGTTGAAAAAAAATCTGCATCTGCATTTAGTTTGTTCCTCTTGGCAGTTGATACCTTATAACGTCTATCAAATGGATGCTTTTATGAGAGCTATCATACAAAAAGCAATTTGCTTCTAGTGGGAAATCTTAGAACTGGGTCTAATGTAGAACAAAGTGAATTTTGCTGTAAGGCTGTCACAGCCCAGTAGAACAATTGCCTCTAAACCTAAATCCTTCTAGAAGAGTCTTCAGTATGATTTCATTTGGCTCATGAGGTAGGAGATATGGAATTCAGAGTTAGTGGAAACTCGTGAGGAACAGCTACATGGATACAAATTGTCATCTAAGTCAGTGCTCTTCAGAAGGGGAGTCTTTGCCTGCGCCTCCCCCACCCTCATTGAACCATGTCTAGGGACCTTTGACTGTCCTATTCTGATGGTTGGCATCATGACTGGCATCTAGCAGGCATAGAGGTCAGGGTGCCATTAAATATCCCAGAAGGGTCAGTGAAGTGCCCCTCAGCAAAAGGTTATCTAGCCTCAAATGCCAACATTTGCTGAGGTAGCCTGTCATAAGTCAAGAGATGAAACGAATCCGTTTCATGATGACTTAAGGAGATTTCTGTGCTTTCGGAGAGCGAGGTCTTCAGTAAACAACAAAGTCTAGTGGCAGCCAAGCCTCCTGAAGATACTTTCCCGTCTGAATCCCTCTTGCTTAACTTACTAAGGCGGGTGGCTAATGCCTTGCTCTTCCTCTGCCACCTGTTGTCTGGAGTAAGCAGCCCCTCTGAAAAGTGGTGCTCACTGAAACGCTTTGGACAGTTCAGACAAGTTACATGGGAGATGTAGGCTCAGGGGGTCTCCCAGCCCACCCACCACTTCTCTCTTCCTCCTTTTTGGAACAGTCTTTGCGTTATAGTAAGAATTGTGCTGGGCAACTGAGTTTCCTGTTTTGTCATATTTCTTACATATCATTCCTGTGGAGATTTGAATTTTCTTTAAGGGGATCTGCTGAGATTACACTGTTTGAAGCAAAAGCTCTAATTGGTCCTAAAAACAAATCCGTATTCTTCATGCTTTTGAGCTCATGCTGGGTGAGGTAACTTTAGCATTGACTCACACAGCTGTTCTGTGACAAAGAACCTGGTTCAGGCCAAATACCAAATACCAAACCTGTGTTTCAGATACCAAATCCAGTTCAAGTAGAGATAGTCTCCCTGCTCCCTAAGGTGTCTGGGGAGCTGATTGTGTGAACATCACAATTGCTAACCCTTACTGGACATTTCTTATTTGCCAGAACGAGTCTCAGAGTGTTGCATATGTTCATTTCAATTCTTACCACGGTTGCAGGAAGGGACTGTTGTTCTGTAGGTCCAGTTTACAGATGTGGAAATGGAATAGCAGATGTGGCATTGTATTAGGTAAGTTAGCCAAGGCACAGTGCTAACAATTCACCGGCCATTTCTCCTGCAGGGAGAATGTGTTACACAGGTCCTGAGTCATGCCCTGTTTGCTTTGCTGTTAGCTTGCCCTTCATTGAGTTTGTTAATCAGCAGTACAGATTTGACACTGCAGTCATGTGCTGCATTCTCTGTATGACTTTCTGAGCTCCGTTGGGAGCAGGCTATTTCTGCTTAGCCCCTCTACTGGAAGTGACACTTACTCTCACAAAATCAGTCGCAAGAAATAAGGTGTCTCTTGGCTTGCTTCTGCCCTGTTTTAGAAACGGCCTGTAGTGGGTATGGGTGACACTGAGTAGGGAGCCACTTGCTGGGATTGCAGGTGCCACCACCAAGCCCCTCTCTTGAGAACTTTCTTCTTGGCTTTCAGACACCCATCTCTTTTTTTAAAGTAATGTTCAGTTTATGTGTGTGGGTGTTTTGCCTGTATATATGTCTGTGCATCACATGCTTGCCTGGTACACATGGAGGCCAAAAGAGGGCATCAGATGCCCCTGGAACTAGAGATAAAGATAATCGTGAGCTGCTATGTGGGTGCTGGGAATCGAACTCAGGTCTTCTAGAAGAGCAGGCAGTGCTCTTTTAACTTCTGGACCGCCTCTCTAGCTCCTCAGACATCCTTCTTGCTTCTTACATGTCTGTGTCTCAGTGTGTACATGTGGAAAAAGAGAGCTGGTGTGGGTCTCTTAGAAAGGCATGATGCTGTCTGAGCACTCTACCCTTGTGAGCTCATCTAACTCGAATTAATTACCTGGAGGCTTCACTTCCAGATATCATACCCTGGAATTCTAATTAAGGCTTCAAAATGCAAAATTCGGAGGACATTCAATCTGTAATCGTGACTTGTTACTTGATTCAATTGATCAGTGGCTAAGGTTGGGAGGGCAGGTAATAAGACGTAACATGAGGGAGGTCTGTCTCTCCCTCTTCCTCTTCTTTCCCCTCCTTTCTTTCCTCCCTCCCCACCTCACTCTGAGTGTAAATGGAATAATTCAGTACCCTGATGCCTATATTAAATTACATACATAACGTGTTGCCTGGAGCTATACACATACATAAAGAATGCATGTAAAGACTGATGAAATCCTGCATTGTAAGTTACCGCTGTTGTGCTGAAGTCAGATTTGGTTTCTTGGTTTTGACAGGGTGCTGTGGTTATTTTGTGATGTTGTTTGACATGGTAGCAGCTAGGTGAAGGGCTTTAGATACTCTGTGCTGGCTTGCTGGTTCTTTACTTCATGAATCTTCAACTCTTTAAAAGTAAAAAGTTTTCAAAAGTTCTTTTTAAAGCCCACCAAAGAAAAAATAAATTATGTGTATTGACAGCATAGATAATCTCAGAAACAGGCTATGAACTGGATGATTTGTTACAGTTACCATAATAGGCAAAACGAATCCCTGACGTAAGTAGTTCAGAGCAGCTGAGTACAGAGTGTCTAGAGAGGGACAGGAGAGAACTTCCTGGGGTGATGGAAATAGTTTTTGTCTGGTTTGGGACAGCCGTTTCACAGATCATAAATGGTCAAAACTGACCAAAGTGGGCATTTTACAGTGGGGCATTTTACTTTATGAAATTATTATATGCCCATGTAGATATGCATTGTGATGTACAGGAAACAAGTAAATTGTTTCTTAAAAACAAGCATAAGTAAACACTAGAAACTCACTGCTTGCTAAGTGTCTGAGTATTGTCTGTAGCTGTGACAGTCTTCTGTACCTGTCCTGACGATGGAAGCACTGTGCACAGTGTGCTACTGCCACTCCATCTTTTCACCCCTCCTGCCTGCTCATTCGCATAAGGAAACCAAAGGAGAGGAGTGAGGCTTGGAGGTAAAGAGCTGGGAACCTTTTGGGGTGTGGATGGTAGGGAAAAGGATGAAGATGAGTAAGGTGTCTAGGGAGATTGGAGAGTAACAAATGGAGGTGGGCTGGTTGTCCTTGGAGGTGTGTTTATAGAACAGACAGAGGAAGAGGAACCCAGGTGCGGAGGATGAAAATAAGGATGAAAATCACAGAAACCAAGAAGTGAGTTGCAGGAGGGGTGTCCTCAGAAGAGAAGCTGTTACAGAGTGGCTAAGGGGGGAGGGGATGAAACAAACATGTTTGTGGATTTAACGACCAGCAAATAGATGGTAGCTTTCAAGACGCTGTGGGAGGACTCTATGCCGTTAGTCCTCTAACTACACCTCATGTCTCAGGACATAAGAAACCATTCAGCTGTCCTAGGTAGGGATATGGACACACCCTACAAGCTTTTCATACTTTTAACTCAAGTGGTCCCTATGCACACTACTCCTAAATAATGACATTTTTCTTTTCCCATAATTGCTTTCCATTTTCAAATCCTTGTCCATTTACTCTCTCAACTGGACTTCAGCTGCCTCTCATGTACTCAGCCTTCGTCTCAATGAAGAATTTCTAACAGATATATCTGACTATGTCAGTTTCATGTTGGATAGAATTGTGCAAAGAGTCTTTATTTCCCAGAGTTGATGTTTATAACCTAAATCTAATAGGAGAATGAAAATATGGGATATGGGAACATAAGCACGCACTGGATCTTGGCGAATGTATAGCTCTAATCAGCAACAAGAGGTGCTAAAGGCTTAATGCATTGAGTCCAAATTCAAGGTCATTTGTGAGCAAGTTTTGGGTAAGCTGGTTTCTGACTGCCAAACCAATGTCAGCAGGAGCTGTTCTTTCTCTAGTCCCTTATGGACCAGCAATACCTATATGATGGACTGTTTCCCGAACGTGCCATATGCTGTCATTTTTAAGTTTTTAAGTGGGTATTCTTCTTGATAGCATGCCAGCCAGTCTTTTCTCCTCTCTGCCCTTCAGGTGTTTTCTCTTAAGCACTCTGAATAGTCCCTCTTCTCTCACATTCCTCTAGCATTCATTGTATTCTGTTATAAGCAATAGTTATTTATAGGTCTGTCTCTCCATAAGGACTTAGGGCCATGGCTGTGTCTTTTCATTCATGCCTAGGTCCTACATAGAATCTGTCATGTTGAATATATAAACCAAAAGACCAATTTGCTAATGAACAACTGTATGTATGGCTTTTCTCCTCCTTAGATGCCCTCAGTAAAACTACAGAATGGCTAAAAGAGTCTATAGATGAAGAATTACTTTCTGAGACTGCTGTAGCTCCTGGAGCTGAACATAGTTCCATGCCAAGCCTAAGCCCTTTGCTGGTGCTAAATAGTTGTTACTTGAAACTACTTCAGTGGGATTATCAGAAAAAAGTCTTACCAGAGGTGAGTGACTTTTTCCTCCCCCAAGATTCCTAGTATCTTAATTCTTGAGTTTTGACTTTGAGTCAGATGGTCTGTCTGTGTTCCATATGGTGTGTTAACTAAAATCAGATAAAAATGAGAATGTGGGTATGACACTGCTTATTTTACATTTTCATGGCATTGTGCTTCAACAAATATGCTAGACACTCATGACAGATGGAACACGACTTAAGGAACTGACAGAAAAGCTGAATCAATTGAAAATGATTGCCTGCGTATCCCTAATTACCAACAACATGATGGGTGCTATTACAGAAGGCCTGCCTGAGCTTGCAAACAGGTTAAAAAGGATTTCCACTGTTCTGCTGGAAGGCATGAATAAAGAGTAAGTTCTTCGTGTATGTATGTATGTATTTGCTTCATCACATAGGAACATTTTGCATGTGTTTCCCAAACCAAAACAGGTAATCACCTTGGCCATGTGGATGCAGCAGTCAGCACTGGCTTTAAAATTTCTTGAATCTCCTCTTTCTTCAGTGTCATCCAGTGTCTTGAAAGTTCTAAATGTCCTTGCATAGGAGGCAGCGGTGTGCTCTCTGACACGTGCCATGTTTCCCCTTCAGTAGTGTGCACAGAGTTTTTCTTGACAGTGCTCTGGGAAAGCAAAACTAACAGAACACAGAGCCATGTGCAAAACTGCTTTGTCAGGCAGGGCTTTGATGGGTCATCTCTACCCTTTTTTCTGAAGAGATGACCACTGACTTTAATAGATCCAACCAATGAAGGCTTTAAAGTGGACAGTCCTGTCTACCGTCAGCCTGAGGGAAGTTATGCTTTTGCTGAATCCATCCCCAGTGTTGCTCTTTCACTGGATATTATAATCTCACTTGGCTTTTTGCTTTTAGGGCCATCCCATTGGGACACTGTCTATATCGGAAGACAGGTCTTGTCAGTGTTTCCATGAATCTCACGTGGCGTTGTTTTTAGGGTTCTATCTTCTGTTCCTGCCATGAAGAGAGATACACTTATCCTCCCATTTGCTATAAAGAACATAAACTGTGTGCTAAAACCTACAGTAGGAATCTCAGTAGCTTGGGAACTGCACTTCTCATTTTGGGCTGAAGCTCAGAGGATAGGGTTTGTCTTAGGTGGTGTGGGTGGAAGTGGGAAAGCTAAACCTCTTCTTGTCCTACTGTCTAAAGCCCCACCCTTTCTGCTGACTCTGATACTGACCTGCCACATACCTTAGTTCGTAGTTCAGGACCCAGGACCCACACAGAAACAATACCTTTCTTTGTCCCTAAAGTTGATGTATCTACATCTTTTCACACTGGGAACATTGCTTTCCAGAAATGTTTTTCACTGTTTATTGAGTACTGAGTGCTGCCATGTGTTAATATGATGTATACAGAAACAACATGTAGAAACTAAAGAGGACAGGCTTTCTGATCAGGTGACCAGGCCAAACTCGGCTGTGAAACTGTCTTCTTATGTGTGATGAACATGCTTCTGAGTCTCTCTGAGCCTTCTTTCTCACGTGGAAAGAGAATAATAGAGGCTGGGGACCTGGCTCAGTGGACAAAATGTTTGCTTTGCAAGCGTGAGGACCTGAGTTTGGATCCTGCAACAGCCACATAAAAGCTGAGGATGGGGGAGTGTGTCTGTTATCCCAGTGCTAGACAGATAAACAGAGAGAGACAGACCCCGGATGCTTGCTGGCCAGCCAGTCTATCCAAAATAGTTCCCCTCACATTCAGTGAAAGACCCTAACTCAAGAAGTAAGATGAAGATTAATAGAGGAAGACACATGAAATTTATCTCTGGCCTTGACAAGAACACACATGAGTGAACATATACACCACACCACATCATAACCACATACACATAAAAAAGGATACTAATTTTCCCTATTTTGGAACTGTGAGAATAAATGATTAATGTGTGACTCCTACTATAGGTGCCCGATGCAGTGTATATACTCAATGAATGTTTGAAGTGAAAGTTTCTGGTTTCTTTGAAGACTCAGTTGAGATCTACAACCCCCTTTACCTAATAACTTCCTTTCTTCCCTACCTCTGGTCAGTGGGTGAAAGGGAGGTCTGAGTGTTTAAGAACCCTAAATGAATTAGGTTAGATGAAAAAAAATCTAAGCCTACAGTTGTTAGTTATTAATAACTGTTTAGGTTTAGTCATCCTTCTTGTGCTTTTATTTTACTGTTTACTAGACGTTTCATATAATGCAGAAACATTCCTTTATAGGAAATAAATTCATTCACTGCCCACATACTCGCCTTATAGAAAGAATAGCAGCATTCATAATAAAAAACAAGCAGATGATCTCAGACCATCTGTAGGTCCAGATGTTATTTGCATATGGTTTGGGATATGTCATAAGGTTTTGCTTTTATTGTGACTAGGGAGCCTTGGCTTATATTAAAATTTATTTTTTTCCTTTAGCCTAAGAACTTACTGACTGAAAGCAGGAGAAAGTTAAGAGCACTACTTTATAGTGGATTAAGACATCAGAGGGAAAAGATTGTACAATGTACAATGTACCCTTGGACTGTAGACCCCAGAGGTAGCCCCAGCATGAGTGTAGAGCAGATTCCAGTTAAGGCAGAACACCAGGGATGATGTGCCATTTTCATGCTTTTCTTACTGAGCATTTACTTTACACTTAACATCCTGCTCAGAGCTAACACTGGCATCTAGCAAATTCAGTGGTAGAGCCTGGATCTGAATCAAGCCCTTTAGTACATCAGACTTAGCCCTAATTTACTCCATTATGCTCCTCCTATCTCTAGGCAACTACTCATCTGATTCTGTAATTCACATTTTTCACAGTGATACAAAAGAACCCTTTCTAGATCATGATAATACCATTTCAATTATTCTATTTTGTATTTTTTTAAAAAAATTTTTATCACGATTTATTCATTTTGTATCCCAACTGTAGTCCCTTCCCTCATCTCCTCACAATCCTGCCTTCCCTTTCTCCTCCCATTCCCTCAGAGCCTATCAGGGTTCATCAGGACTATCTTTATTGTCTTCCTCTGTGGCCTGGAAAGGCTGCTCAGCCCTCAGGGGGAGGTGATCAAAGAGCCAGGCACTGAGTTTATGTCAGAGACAGTTCCCCTTACTAGGGAACCCACTTGGACACTGAGCTGCCATGAGCTGCATCTATGCAGGGGTTCTAGGTTATCATCATGCATGGTCCTTGGTTGGATTATCAGTCTCAGACCCCTGTGCCCAGATTTTCTGGTTCTGTTAGTTTCCTTGTGGAGCTCCTGTCCCCTCCAGGTCTTTCTTCTTCCCCCTTCTATCATAAGATTCCTTGCACTCTGCCCAAAATTTGGCTATGAGTCTGAGCATCTACTTTAATACACTGCTTGGTAGTCTTTCAGAGGCCCTCTGTGGTAGGCCTCTGTCCTGTTCCCTGTTTTCTCCATCTTCCGAGGCCTATTTCATTTCAATTCTTTAATAGTGCAGATCTAACAAACACCCTGACTAATTCCCTCTTCCCTTATTGATTAAATGACATACTCCTTACTTACTGTTTATAAGGTCTAGACTGTGTATTTGACATTAGTTCCTGGAAAGTAGTAATGGGGGGTTTATTGCCTTTGGTCATGATCAGTCAAATATTTTAGGTAATTTGGATTCTCAGTATCTCTGTTGGTGTTAAAGATTTACTCCTATAGGCACAGAAAATTTGTCTATTCAACTCATTAAAAAATGTCTATGAGATAGTTAAAAGTACTTGGCTGGTCTTGCAGATGACTCGGGTTCAGTTCCAAGCACCCACATGGCAGCTCAAAACTATCTTGAGTAACTCCAGTTCCAGAGGATCTGATGACCTCTTTTGGCCTACATATTTACCAGATGTACATTTAGTGCACATACATACATTCAGCCTGATATATGTGAGATAAATTTTTCAAAAATATATTTGAATGAATCAGAGTTGTGGATTTAAGAAGTAAATGAATATTTCCTGTCCCTTTTGCTAAACCTATAAATGGGGTTTTACAAGGCTGGAGAGGTGTCTCAGAGGTTAAGACCACTGTCTGCTCTTCCAGAGGTCCTGAGTTCAATTCCCAGCAATCACGTAGTGACTCATTACCATCAATAATGAGATCTGTTGCCCCATTCTGGCCTGCAGGCAAAGCATTGTATACATAATAAATAAATCTTTTAAATAAATGGTGTTTTACACTTCCATTAGACACTGGGTATATATTGCATGGTTTTCAGCACTTAAAACCTATTAAGTGTGAACATTGGCAGTTGGGAGAGGCACTATTTTCTGTTCATTTTAATAAGAACAATTGTTGCTTATAAGAGAAAATTACTAAGCATTTGCAATAAGTTAGTATATTTAAAAACAAAACAGAAAGATGCCTGAAGACCCAGACTTGGCCTAATGCAGTTTGCTCTATGTTGTGTAGGACCTTTAACTTGAAGGAAGCCTTGAATTCTATTGGTGTTCAGACCTGTGCTGAAGTTAATAAAGCCCTGAAAGAGAGAGGCTCGTCCATTTTAAATGCTCAGGTTCAAGCTAATCTTGTTGGTCAGTTTTCAAGCCTTGAAGAGAAGGACAATCCTGTCTGTACCTTGATGGGTGAGTTTTCTTTATTTTTTAATTAGTTTCTACTTTAGTTTGCTTTAACTTGCTGTATAAGTGTCAGTCATATTTTAGTATTAAACATAGTACTAAAAGCAATTCAGATTTTAGATTTCCAGATTAGAGATGTTCAGCCCATCAAGTTCACTCCAGACTCTATAACAAAAGTAAACAAAGAGCCCAGCCAAATCTGAAACATCTGTGATACAATTGGATGTTGAGCATGAGATACAGCCATACTATTGCTGGCATGAAACACCATGACCAAAAGCAACTTAGGAAGGAAAGGGTTTATTTTACTCACAGTTCCATATAACAGTTCATCATCAAAAGCAGACAGGACAGGAACTCATACAGGGCAGGAACCTGGAGGTGGGAGCTGATGCAGAGGCCATGGAGGGGTGCTGCTTCCTGGTTTGCTCCCCGTAAATTGCTCAGCCTGTTTTCTTATAGACCCCAGAACCACCAGTCCAGGGATGGCCCCACCCACAGTGATCTAGGCTCTCACCCATGAATCATTAAATAAGAGAAATGCCCAACAGGCTTGGTTAAAGCCCAATTTTATGGAAGCATTTTCTCAGTTGAGGCTTCCTCCTCTCAGACAACTCTGGCTTGTGTCAAGTTGATGTAGAACTAGGCAGCACTGATGCTTAGCTTTCACTTTTGGAGGACAAATAGTAAAAGTATAGAGAAATGCTGTTGTTTACATAGGTCTGACTCCTCTGTTCATAAGAAGTGGGGGTGGTCCTTCAGAGCCTATCAGAACTATCCAGCAAGTGGGCTTGATAGTACATGATGGTGTGGAAATCCTGGGTGAATGTGCAACTCAGAGCTACTCTCAGCACACTCACAGAATGAGGGTAATGGTTTCTCCATGAGCATCCCTGGGAGAACTGAGGCCCTCTTCTTGGTCAGAATTAAAGAGACAGAGTAATAGATTGAAACTGAGAGGCATCATGGGTGGGCTCTCATTGACCTAGCTGGTCAAGTAAATAACCTTCTCAGTATTAGGCTGGGTTAGAGAGTTGGCAGTATGGATCAGGACTCTTTCTGTTACCTGTGACTAATTTAGGTAAAAAGGGCAGTTTTCTCCTACAGCTGAGAGGGCCAAGGGTGGGGCAGGCTGCTGACAGTGTGATAAGAGATTCTAGTTTTTCGATGCTCTCTCTCAGCACTGTCTTCCTGTAGGCTGGATGCCTGCAAGGATGCCCATCATCCTTCCATGTTTAAGTCAAACAGGAACTGAGAGCCTTACTTCTCTGTTAGCTAAACAGTGACCCAGCATGGAGTCCCGTTGGCTTTGGTGGCCTAGCTGTGGGTCAGGTTCTGCCCTTGAATTGGTCATGGTGATTAGAGGCAAAAGAACTGAATCTTGAAATGTACACTCATGTCCTGGACAGTCTGCTGAACCAGAGTATCAGTGAGAGTAGGGCGGACATGGCTCCCTTACCCCAAATCAGGGTGTTGTTAACCCTTAAAGAGGACAAAAGCAGGTCTTTGTAAAATGTGCTCAGTTACTGCAGACTGAAAAATAAAGTCTTGAAGGAGGGAAGAATATGGGATTAGAATGTACTAACATTCTGGGATTAAGCTGTAAGCTTACCAAATACAGTGCTGTTGCTGCAATAGTGTGGGCACATCTTATTATGGGCTGAGCGGCCCTGCAATGGTCTTTTTATCCCTGGGAACATAGGATACTAGCAGTTCGGGCTAGGATACAGGATACAGGCTACTTAGGTGGGCCAAAGCCTCACCTTGATACCCAAAAGGATCAGTGCCAGTGTGCAGCATGGTCAGTGGCAATAGAGGCTGCTACCAAGGGGAGACAGGTAGTTGACAATGATAATTGGCACAGCCGCTTGTTAGAGCCCTTATGTTTATGCCCCATATGCTGACCTGTCTTTGCCCTCTTTGCCTCTAGAGGAGTTGTAATCTGAGAGGTGTGCTCCTGAAGAAAGAGATCCCTGCTTCTGGCTTCCCGATACTATATAGACTCATGAGCACAGGGGTGTGTCTTCTGTTTCTATACCTAGCGCTGAGTCTGTAGGTGGCATTTAATATCTGCTGTAGAGTACCCATGGTGAAATAACAGGGCAGACTTGGTATTCTTACCTGCTTCCCTGCCTTGGGGCTCCTATTCCTAACTGTTGTGCTTTGAGCAGAGCGGAAGTCTTAAGTTGTCTGAACTCACAGTGTACCTGTGCCCTGGATATCAAATGGAAAGGAAGGAGGAAAGGCAGGAAATGCCTGTTAAAATCTGGTAAAGCAGTTTTTGTTTCCCAGCTCTCTCAAGGGCAGCTTTGCCTCCTCTGCACGTGGCAAGGATTTTTGAAATCTTATTCAAAGTATTATTTCCTTAGCTACTTGAGTAACTGTCTTGAGTGTCTCTTTTTTTACTCTGGAAGCCAAGGACAGGTCTTTGGAAGGGACTTCATTTGGCTGCTTCAGAATGAACAAATGCTTTGTAGTATTGGCCTAAAAAGTTGTCTTGTCCAAACAGGAGACAGAACCACCTATAGAAATAACCATTTTGGAAGGATTTTACTTTTAGGCTTTCTTGTGATAAAGTATTTGAATTGTATATGTGATGAAGTTAGGTCTACAAGAGGCAGCCAGCCCAACAGGAAAGGTCACTGGGTTTTTGCATGATGAGAAACTGGTATAAATTAAGCCCTTAGACCTTTGCATATAGGAAAGGCTCTCCCTGTGCATGGCACCCATTCTCTGCCACCTTGTGTTTTCAGTTGATGTGAGTACACTTGCCAAGGGCATTCCACTTCTTACCACAACTGTTTGAAAAGATAATTATAATGGAAATTTTCTTTCAAACCAAAACGTTTCCATATATATGTACATAAAAGTAAAAATTATCTGTGGATCATGTATTGTCTGTGCATGCCTATAGCCATTTACATTCTTGAGAGGTGATTTTTTTTTTCAATAGCCTGATACATGAATCATTTCTCCTGTTGTTGAAATACACAGATGAGAATTATATTGTCTATGCTTGCCTTTTCCCGGCTCCATTCTCAGGCTTCCATTGTTTTTGGTTTGGTATTTATCAACTTTTTTCATTCTGTTCTCATTTTATTTCAGTCAGGATTTTTGTGCCATGGATCAGGCCAGGAATATAAAGAGACATAGTCTCTTACCCCCTTCCCAGCTCACCCTTAAGATAGGAGAAACACATTTCCCGCCGAGAGTGATCTGGTATGTGAGCATGTGGCAGATGGTCAGAGAAGTTACTTTAGAATAGGCACTGGAGATCTGGACAGGTGGAATGGGATGGGGCAGGAGTTAAGAAGGGGAAATATTCTGTCTGAGACATGGACTTTAGAAACTTGAACATTCTGAGGTCACTTCTGGCTAAAGTGTACTTTGTGGGGAAAGGTTGAAAATAAGGGTCTTGTTAATATCCAAAGCCAGGCACATTGACATATGTCTGTAAATCCCACAACTTGAGATGTGGAGGCAAGAAGAGGTATAGTTCAGCCATATATGTTTGAGGTCACCCCAGGCTTCATGACTTTTTCTCTAAGGGAGAAAGAAAGTTTCATTTAATGTCACAGCTGCCTGTGCTCAGTGGACTGTGTTATTAGTAAACATTCTTATTGATGAGGGTTTTGTTTCCAAAGCCAGGGAGAGTCCTTGAAGCTGTATGTGTTGAAGGAAGCCTGGTTGGCACTACTAGTTGTCTGCTGAGGCTGTAGCCAAATCTGTGCATGCATTTGTTTGTATACAGTAGTCACAAAGTCAGATGCAGTGAGGCAGCTAGGGGAGGCACTGTAGCAGCCTTTTCTCACTGCCTCCTGCAGAGAAGCTAGATACTTAATTACCAAACCTGGGTGCTTTGGAGAGTACTGCTTTTAACCAGAACAGAGTCACAGGCAGGCCCTTCAGCTATCTCTGCATAAACGAGATGTGTGGCCAGATTTCCTCAGTTAAACTTCTATGTGTGCTGGGTTTCTAGATTGTTTGCTTGTACAACCAAAAATTTGGATTTCAGTGTGAAATCCCTGATCTTAAATTGCCATTATAAAAACAAAACAAAAAAACCCCAAAGACACATGATGTTGGCTAAATTTGGCAGTGCCAGCTTCAGTAATGATTGTGGAGGATGTTGGGCATAGACTTTTATAAAAGAATTATACCTCACAAAAGCACTGTTTTTTTTTTTCTAATCAACTATCTCTGTTTATAAATGTTACTCCCAAACTCTATAGCCTGAGTTTCTTTTATTTAGTAGGGCAGCTAAGTCGTTCTTTGCCTTGTTAAACTCCTTTGTTTCTGTGGCTAGCTGTGGCTTAGGTTGGTAGCCCTGTTGGCTAGACTCATATCCGGAGCTTTGGGAGGTTGCTCATCTAGAGGCTCTCTCTACGGAGCTTCAGAGAGCATGGTTTCTTTGTCTTTGGTCTCATTCTCCAGCAGTTTCAGCCTTATTCACATGGTTGACGGTAGCAAAGTGGGTGTCAGTCATGCATCTTAACGTTCAGACATGCTGTCGGCAACCTGGCATTTCTATAACATTGTACATTATTAGCAAAAACAGGTCACAAAGCCAGTTCAGATTTGACAGATAAAGAAATGCTCTCTCTTTTTAATGGGAAGAACTGTAATGCCACTTGAGTAGAGGCAGGTAAACGGGAACCTTACTGCTTATCATTAAAGACTGTGTGCTTCAGTAATGGAACAGTAAAGATACCACTTTTTCCTTTAGATAAACGGATCCAGTTGTATATGAAAAGCCTGCTCTGTCTTCCAAGTGCTCAGAAGAGCTTGCCTCCCATGCCAGGCGGCCTCGATGTCATTCAGCAGGAACTGGAAGTGCTTGGCTGCCAGTACGCAAACATCGTGAATCTCAACAAACAGGTGTATGGACCATTTTATGCAAATATATTCCGAAAGCTGCTCTTCCAGGATGAAGCCATGGGGAAGATAGATGCTTCACTTCCAACTAGCTAAAAAGAAGCTGGCACTGGAGAAGCACTGGAAAAGAGATGAAGATCAGCAGTTGGTACACGGCCCACTTCCACCAATGGCGTTATTATAGATGTGGCACAGTCTCAGTGCTGTCTCTCTACAGATTTAGTGTTAGACTAAATCTGTGTACTCTGCTGATGTTAGCATCACAGAAGGGCCACATATCCCATAGACTCTTTTGTGTATCATTTCCAAGTTTAAAGAAGATAGTTTTAATGAAGAAAAGTAATTTTTCATGAATTATATTTCCTACATGATACTGGTGTTTTCTTAAACATTTATATTGAAGTTTGGTTTTTGGTTTTCTGAGACAGCATTTTTCTGTGTAATGGCCCTGGCTGTCCTGGAGTATATTGAGCGTTTTTATGTGGCTTGCTCATTCAACCTGAAAGGGGTTGTTTTTGTTTTCATACTTGATTATTCTGCAGTTGCCTGCAGGAATACACATGCGCAAACATTTAAAAATACACTGAAAATGAAGGGCATTCTGCTTCATTTTTTGTTAAGTGGCAAAGTAAATTTGTGTCTTGAGTCTGGGTTTGGCCAAGTATATTCATTAGGATTTTTAAACCATAGCTCTTGGCATGTTTATTTAGTTTTTACTTAAGTGTTTACTTCTACTTTTGACACTTTCCTAACATGGTTGTTTTGTAATAAAACTATTAAACAGCTGACAAGGTAATCTTTTAATTCTTTTACTGCTAAAACATACGTTGCTCGCACTAACTGCACCTTAAAATGTTAAAAAAATTTTCAATATAACTAGTGCCTCTGTTTTCTAATCTCTCAGGTGTCTCAGAGATATTTAATATTGGGTATTTGTTTTCTTGCTCTATCTATCTATCTATCTATCTATCTATCTATCTATCTATCTATCTATCTGTTTATCTATTTATTTTTGAGGCAGGGTCCCACTCTGTGGCCCTGGATGGCCTGCAGTTTATTTACCTGACTGGCCTTGGAATCTCAGAAGTCTGACTACCTCTACTTCTTGAATGCTGAGATTAAAGATGCCATGGGCCTTCTTTATTAGTTACTCTAAGATGATTTTGTGCTGCTTCTCAGAGCCTTACAGACATGGTGTCATTTGTGTTCATTTGGTTAACAAGCACCTGTGGAGCATTCACTGTGTATCAAGAAGATGGTACTCAGCACTACAGTTGCTGAAACTGAACCATAAAGAATAGCATGGCCCCACATTAGAAGGATGTGAACATTCTTGAGATGATGTGTACTTTTATATATATAGTGAAGACATGAAGGGAGGACTATTTAAGAAAATTAAAGAAGAGGAGTAGTTGGAAGTGGGGAGGAGAAAGTAGTGGGGGCATGAATCTGATCAAAATATATACATGGATGAAAATGTTATAAGGAGCCAGACATGGTGGTATAATCTGCATAGTACCAACATTTAGAAGGCTGAGGCAGAAGGATCTCAAATCAAGACTAGCCTTAGCTACAGAGACCCTTAAGAAGAAATCATAGTGAAACCTATTATTTAGTTTCATATATGTTTAAAACCCTCAATGGAGGAATGGATGCAGAAATTGTGGTATATTTACACAGTGGAATATTACTCAGCAATTAAAAACAAGGAAATCATTAAATTTGCAGGCAAATAGTAGGAGCTAGAAAAGATCATCCTGAGTTAGGTGTCCCAGAAGCAGAAAGACACACATGGTATATACTCACTTAACATTGTATATTAGAAATATAATATAGGATAAACATACTAAAATCTGTACACCTAAAGAAGCTAAGCAAGAAGAAGGACCCTGGGTAAGATGCTCAATCCTCATTCAGAAAGGCAAATGGGATGGACATCAGAAGAGGGAGAAAACAGGGAACAGGACAGGAGCCTACCACAGATGCTGAGACTCATGGCCAAACTTTGGGCAGTATGCAGGGAATCTTATGAAAGAAGGGGAGAAGAAAGACTTGGAGGGGACAGGAGCTCCACAAGAAGAGCAACAGACCCCTGGGCACAGGGGCCTTTTCTGAGATTGATACTCCAACCAAGGACCATGCATGATGATAACCTAGAACCCCTGCACAGATGTAGCCCATGGCAGCTCAGTGTCCAAGTGGGTGCCCTAGTAAGGGGAACAGGGGCTGTCTTTTTGATCACCTTCTCCTCAGGGGTGGGGGCAGCCTTACCAGGCCTCAGAGGAAGACAATGAAGACAGTCCTGATGAGTCCTGATAAGCTAGGGTCTGAGAGAAGGGGAAGAGGACCTCCCCTATCAGTGGACTGGGAGAGGGGTATGGGAAGAGAAGAGGGAGGAAGGATGGGATTTGGAGGGGACAAGGGAGGTGGCTTCAGTTGGGATTCAAAATGAATAAATTGTAATTAATAAAAATAAATAAATTAAAAATATATATGTTTAAACAAAACAGTTCCATTCTCTGTGTAGTCCTGGCTGTCCTAGAACTACTATAGACCAGGTTGGCCTCTAACTGAAACCACCCACCTACCTCTGCCTCCTAAGTACTGAAATTAAAGGCACGTGCCACCACTGCTCAGCTAAATAACAAAAAAATTTTAACACTCCAATAAAAAGTTACAAAAAATTAGTAAGGGCCATAAAATATATTTGATTTGTGCTGGTAATGATTACTGAACTCTCTCATGGGAGGATAATTCTTGGGTTAAAACCTGAAGGACATAACAGGAATGGGCCAAGAACCATCAGGGTTGGGAGTAAAGAGCAAACTCTGTGCAGTGAGTACAGTGGTGAGGAGAAACAACGAATCCAGAGAACAGCAGACAGCAGATAAGAATGGAGAGATGAAAGCAAAACAAAGGTAAAAAGTTTCTTGGGTACCATACGCAAGGATTTTTTGTTTTTGTTTTTCCTGAAAGGGATGAAAATAATCACTAAATGTTTGCAACAGAAGGTCACAAACAAACTTAAGTGTTGGGAAGGTTGCTCTCAGAAGTTCTTGTTGGTGATATCATAGTCTTGTGTATGGTGTGTGCATACACACGTGCTCACAGGAACACCTGGTATAAGCAATAAAACCTGAAATCGGTGGTGAAGCAATTAATAGGATTCATACTGAGTACCACACAGAATCAGTCTTGGAAAATAGATGGGAACTAAAGCAGTCTTTGTTGCAAAGCATCCAGCCACACTGACGAGTTCCAAACTCTCCTTGCCGCTTTGCCTCACTGAAGTAAAATTTGAAGTCCCAGATACCAACATTCACCTGAGTGAGTTTAGATAAGTACTCAGCCCCTAAGTGATAGGGATGAAACAAGGGAATCATTGCTTCCTCTTCCTGGTCCCCGCTAAAGTCATGCTATTGTTCAAACATTCTCTACTTGCTGTCCAGAAAAAAATAAAATGGGACTGAGATCACAAAATCAGAATTTGAATCCACCCCAGCAATTCCATAGCTATATGAGTTCAAGTCATCTTTAAATCGTCCTGAACCAGTTACCTTCTCTGCATTTCTACCAATCTACTTACCCACCTCACAGGATGAGGTTCAAATAAAATGTGTTTGAATTGTGTGCCACCACCACCATAATGCAGCCAGCATACATTACTAGTAACTATAATTTATGAGTCCTAAATCTCCTTCAAGCTCCAAGGGTTTTTAGTGTTTTGAGAAATGATGGCCAAGTGTTTAACTATATAAGAAGAGAATTTGTCATATTTCATCAGAACCATGGTTCATTAGGCCTAATATTGTCATTGGCAGAAAAACTCAAGGGCAAAGAGAATGCTGTAATAGTTATCTTTGATATCAACTTCAAAGTCTGGTGACAAAACACAACATGCTGTTGATTCATTTAGCAATCACTGAGTTTATCCTGTGAGTTTTAATCTTTCAAAAAAAAAACTTTAATGATAAGCTTTCTCCAAAGCTGTCTCCTTTGCTAGTTTTGTAATGAAGCCTTATTTTCATTACTAAACTTACAATGGGAGCCTCTTTAATATTTCAAGGGACAGGAACAGAGGGACTTAAGTGTATGTCCCTATGAAGAAAGAGTATCTGGGACTGTCTCAGCAGCCACTCTTTCAGGCTTGATGGAACAGCTGGCCACAGTTTTTGTCTTTCAGAGAATGATAAAAAAATAATCACTAGGTACTCAGTATTTGGCAGGGGCTGCCCTGAGCATTTTATATAAGTTCTGTAACTGCACAGCACATTGTAGGGCAGACTCTTTATTATTTCCATGTATGTCCTATGTCCTATGACATAGATGGAAATGGAGGTAATTGGAGATTCTTCAATTGCTCAGTCTTGCTCAAAACATAGACTGCTCTCAGTATGTAGCAACTTGTATATTCAGGCTCATCCCCACTTGTGAAATGGCAGGTTTTGAGGAATATCTCTGTGCCTTTCCAGCCTTAACATTCTTTCCTCCAGAGGTGTTTCTGGCCTCCTCCAGTTCTTTGTAAATGTATCCATGAACAGAAAGAGCACTGGAGATATTTTCTTCTGGTTGGCATCTACTGAGAGGATATACTCTAGTGCATTCTGCTAAAGCATCAGAAAACAGATCTGAGTTCTTCAACGTGACACAAAGGCTGTGACCTGCCCAGTTCTGCTGGCTTTCTAGTGCTGCCAAGCAGACTTGTCCTTGGCAAGCCCCAAATGAGCACATCATTCAATTGCCGGAACGGAAACTCTTAATGTTCAGTAGCTGTTCGCTCTGTTTGCCGCCCCATGCTCTTGGTGTGGTGTCTTGCTTCAAAGGTCTAGCCTCCTAGTTTCAGAAGAAGTCATGGGTTTGACCTGGGGTACAGGTGTAATGCAAAAAGGATTACAAGGGATTGTGTTCTAATAGCCAACATCATGACTGTCAACCAACTTAGAAACTTTAAAAAAAATCAGGGTGACAACAGGAATATAATGTTAAATTTATCATTACCTATTGCAGTTTATTTTCAAATTATGCATTCAACACAAATTTATCAAGGAACAAACAGTGCATTACAACCTAGAATGCTTGTTCTTGTTCTGGTTGTCACAGCCTGAATCACTAGACAAGTACTGAGGTTATGGTATTAGGTTACAACTGCAGAGAGCTTGACAAGAGATGCAGTTACAGCTCGAGCCTGCCAATCAGAAAGCTGAGATTTTTAGCTCAGCAGTGGTGGCACACGCCTTTAATCCCAGGCCTTGGAAGGTGGAGGCAGGTGGATCTCTGAAATGAAGGCCAGACTGGTCTACAGAGTGAGTTCCAGGATAGCCAGTACTACACAGCAAAACCCTGTCTCAAAAAAACAAAAGCAAGCTGAGATTTTTATCTGTCCCAGTGTCTGTGAGCTAGGCCACAGTAGGAGAACCTTCTTCATTATGGAATCAAATAGAACTTTGGAGAAGATAGTTGACACACCTGAGTCAAGCTTGACATTATCTGACATCTAGACAGCACTCTCCTAATCCTTTCCAGACTCCACTCTAACTAGGTGTGCTCTCTGTTAAGTAATTTACAGGAATCATTCAATTACGTCTCTCTGAATAACCTGGAAGGATCTGAGGGCAGGTGCTGATCACTTTTATTTTTAAATGACTTCTCTTACAAAGGAGTGTGGAGACCAGAGCTCAGAGGACACCTTTCTAGAGTTGCTTCCGTCTCCAATATGGATCCTGAGAACTGAACTCAGCTTGTCAAGCTTTGTGGCAGGTGCTTTAACCTACTGAGCCATCTTGCTGGCCTGTATTTTTCTTTCTTTCTTTCTTCACCTAATTTCAGAAGCCTATAAGCCCAACATTTAGAAGATACAAGCACCGAAATTTAAGTAACTCACTCAGTAAGTAGAATACCTTGTGGCCAGGTTAAAAAAATCAGAAGGCTTAAACTAAAACATTTTAAGAACTTCTTTATAATGGTTTCAACTATTGAACAGTGTTAGCAGCATTTGCTTACTCATAAGCTACTATCTATCTCCACAACTTTTGTATTTTCCCAAAGTAAAACTATCTATTAAACTACTGTTGGCATCTTTCAACTTTTCCTTCCATGGGATTTTTCTTCCCATTGGATTTACATAAACTCATTTTCAAATTTCAGGGGCAAATCTCTTTGTCTTCTCCCAACTCTTTGTGTGTTTACTATTTATGAAGATTTTCAGCAGTGCATTCTGAAATTAAAAAAAAAATAATGGAATAATAAAACTTTAAAATTCTTTTAGCAAATTTTGCGCTTTATCTGTTGCTGTCCTTGAAAGCCTTCATCAGGTCAATGTTGTTAATACATTCTCTTTGCTTTGGAACAGGGTCCTTGTAGCCCACGCTGGTGTAAACTTGCTACGTAGTGAAGGATGTCCTTGAGTTTCTGATACTCCCTTCTCCACCTTCTAAACGCTGGGATTATAGGTGCCTGCCACTATATGAGGTTTATGTGCCACCCTTGGTCCATTTGTTGTAGTGGGAACCAAACCCATGGCTTTGATGCAAACTAGTAAGCAAGCTACGACCTTACATCTTCTTATATTTGTTAACACATCGAAATGGTTAATCTATAAGGCGTTAGATGTATTTTTTCCCCAAACCGTTAATTAGCTATTCTAATGTCATTTGTTGGGTGTTCTCTACCCATTTAAATGTCTTTCCACACTAAAGTTTTGTGAGGTAATTTGCTCCAAGACAGTTTAAGTATCCAGAGTTTAAGTATCACTACTTTGTTATAATTTACTCCCACTAGAGCATTTCTCCTCACCCTATTATGGTCATCCCGATGGCAGTTCATTCGCAGGTACCATCAATTATTTAACCAACCACTTATTATTAGAGGCAGTAAATATTTCTTGTTCTTTTGTATTACGCAATGTACATACACAGTTTTAGACTAAGTTAAATGAATTCTCTGCCTCAGAGGTTTCTGTTATGGCCACTACACCAGGGGGTGCACTTTCCCACATCCGGCTAGATCACTTCCGGGCTCCGCCGCAGGTTAGGCCCGGACTAGGCGGAACCTATTTGAAGCGCCTCCAGTAAACAAGCGCAGGAGGGACACTCTATGGCAGCACACCGCTCTTCGCTTGCTGTAGGCTTGGAGCAGCAGGGGCGGATGTGAACAGGCTGTCGACTTCTTCCTTTTACCGGGAGCGGAATGGACGTGCTAGCTGAGGAGTTTGGGAGCCTGACCCCGGAGCAGCTAGCTGCGCCGATCCCGACTGTGGAGGTAAGCCCCGTGACCTCGGAGCGGAAGAGGCTAGAGGCAACCGGAGAGTCGTTGCCGGGAGAGCTTTACGGGGAAGAGGGCGGAGCCTTATGCTTCTGCGCATGCTCAGGACTTCTCTGCACGTGCTCAGAGTTCCGCGCGTGCGCATCTTTTGTGTTAGTAGCGGTACTAGCAGGGTTCTTAGCAGCGTTTCAGGTTTCAAGTGCAGCGAATGGCTGTCGCGGGAAGCCTTTCTAGCGCACTGATAAGAATTGGCCCTCGTATTCTTTCCTGGGGAATCAGTGCCTTTTTGGTGCCTTACCTGGAAGGACATTGGTGAGCGTTTAGGCAGTGTTCATGAAATTACATAGCTGGCTTTGGTGCTAAAAGTAAACTTGAAACCCACGCTGGTCATCGTATTCATTTTAGCCCAGAGCTTTTTTGGGATGCAGAGTTAGTTTAAGTACCTTGAATACCACTCTCCCCCCCCCCCCCTGTAATATTTAATCTTGTATAGCATTCTTCAGATTCTCAAAAGTTAAGGTATAATTTCCGTATGGCGAACTGCTTGGTCAGGTGCAGTTATTGACATGATTTTGTTTTCTTAGAGTACATATATTTTCTCTAAGCCTCAAAATCTTTGGCATGGAATGGGAAGATCTCGGGTTGAAGATGCTCAGGGGAGAAATTTGGGCAGGACGGACTATACATGACCCTCAGCAATATTTCAGAGGAACTGAAATAAATCTAGTAATACCGGGGAAGAGATGACAGTAAAGAAGAAAGGTAAAGAAAAGGGTCTCGCCTCTGAAATGTATTAACTATCACAATGCGTTAGACCTTCTCCGTGTAGTCGTACAGCACCGTTGAAGAGTTTAAACGGTTCTGGCATGCCCGGTGACTGTTCTCAGGGGTGGCTAAGAAACAGTGCTGGTGGCCGCTCATCCAGAGGACACAGGTTTGACTCCTGCTCACACACTGAAACAGGGTGTGGGGACACACAACTTTCTGTTTGTTTTTTTAGTTTTTCTAAACAGTTTCATTGAGTAACAGAGCCCTGATTGTCCTGGACTCCCTTTGTAGCCCAGGTTAGCCGCGAACTTACAGAGATCTGCCTCCCGAGTGCTGGGATCAAAGGCCCCGCACCCGGCCTGGGCACACACAACTATAATTACAGCATTTGCAATGTGTAGGTAGGAGGATCACAACCTCATTGTCCCAGAGGGAGTTTCAAAATTCTCTTAGGCAAAAGACACGTATTTGTTTTTGTGTTTAGTTTATATCACAGTATTTCACTACTCCTAATCTACAGGACCTGCTCTCATCCATGTCCGACCTGCAGTCCATGCCAATTAGGGTAGTTACGAATGTGGTCCAATACAAAATTGTAAACCTACTCAAAATATTATGAGTTGTTTTTACTTTTTGAAAGTTATTTTTTTTTTGGTGTGGTTCTCAAGTGTGAATTTTGTAGATCACTGTGTTGTATTACAGTATTAATGTAAGAAACCACCTTAATGTCTCTCATCATCATCCTTAACTGCTGCATCAGTTGGGACTCTCAACATCTCCGACATGGACCACTACAGTACTTTCTAGTCTTTCTGTTTGTGTTCCCCACCCCGACTCAGCATTTGTGGCAGCCTAGTCCAGCTACCATGTATAATCTACCCCTGTGCATACTTTTATCACAGCACCTACTAAATCATTTCATTTGCTCACATCTCCCCTATTAATCCAAAGGCTTCTGAAGTCAGGAGGCATGTCTGTTTGTTTACTTGCTTCTCTTAAGTTGGTAGGACACTACCTAGTAGCTTCTCAATAAGATCAGTAAGTATTTGCTCACCTTATCAATCAATAATAACTGGCCCCAGTGCTTGAATAACATCTCCTACCATGCTATAATAGAAAGGAAGAATACTAGAAATGATTAATTCAAATATAACAATGCTCCTGTCTAGAAAGTTGTAAAGGAAATACAACTTAAAGTTAAATAGTGACTATTAGCTCCTGACATTTTTTCATTTAACTCAGCATATTAGAATATTACTCTAATAAGTACTAGCCACCTTAATCTGCATTAGTTCAAGAGTGAATTTGTAGTTTACTTCACAAAAGTAACAAAAATAGTCAGTATAAATAAATGCAATGTTACTTTTTGAGTCTCCAGTGTCATTTTAGACACTTCTTTGGCAAATGCAGTAACGCTATTCATTATGTTCATTTATTAAGGAAAAAAAAATGCTAAGACTTGAGGACCCTGCCTCAGAGAATAAGACTGGGATAAAGGACTAGCAGTATTAGAAACACACAAGGGACTATGGCAGATACTGTGGTGGGAAAGGCTTTTGAAACCTGAAAGCCTATTCACAGTGACACACTTCCTCCAGCAAGGCCACACCTCCTAATCCTTCTAATCTTTTCACACAGTTCCACTCCCTGGTGGCTAAGCATTCAAATATGTGAGCCTATGGGCCCATTCTTATACAAACCACACACCCTAAGTGCAATGGGCAGTATATTCCTAAACTTAAAACTATTTCATGGAATTTTAATGTTTACAATTCTATTACCAAATCTTATGCTATCTCTCTGTTGCCATGCTTGAAATCCTTCACCAAGTTAATGTTATTAATGCATTCTCTCTTTTCTCTTTGTGGAGACAGGATTTCATTCCAGGTTAGATTTGAACTTGTGTAGCCAAGGCTGATCCTGAACTGATTTTGTTTCTACCTCCTAATTGCTAGGGTTATAGGCTTGAGCCACCATACCTGGGCTAAAGGTTTGAATAATTTAAGAAGAAACCCAATAGAGAAGGAGTATACATCCAGGAATTGGGGTCCTTAAATCAGAGAGAGGGTTTTCCGGTTTTCTAGAGTAGATTAGAAAGTATGTATTTATGGCAGACTGTGAGCTTTTCAGCAAGGACTGTGTGCTCCTCCTGCCTTTAAAGTAGTGTTAGGGGCCAAAAATCACTGAAGAAAGATCCTAGACTTAGGTAGTATGCAAAAGCAAAGAGTGTTTATTCTGCAGAAGTTACTAGCCTGCTGGGATCACCATTAAGACAAAATGGCCACCCAGAAGTGAGTACATAGGCTCTTTTTATAGACAGTTAGGGGCGTTGTGTGGTAATTCTTAAACTAATTTGTCAGGAATGACATAGAGTATGAGGGGATTCAGGATTGGCTGATTGTTTAGAGATTTTCCCTAGTTACTGGGCACTTTGTTGACTCATTGATGTTTGGCTTTTATGCATGCATTGACCTTTAATTTGGTTGGTTAGGGCCAGCTGCGCTTTACTTTGGGAACAGCAAGGCCATGTATTCATGTATTCATACATGTATATATAACTTTTGGTCAACTTGACCTGTAAATTGATTGGTTATCCTCAGGTTGTGGCTTTTTCAGGAATTCTTTGTTTGAACTCTGATAAACAGAAAGTCAGGCCTAGTCAGACAAAGTAAAGAAAAGAAGCCTGTCATGGCATCAGATTAGCTAAATAGATAGACACTAAATCTGCCCCAGCTTATTCAAATATCAGCCAGGCCCAATGAGAATAGATCAGGGTCATCTAGGATGGTACGCCAGTAGACTCCAGACCCCTCAGCTCTGTGACCTCAATTTGGATTGGCTAGTGTCCATGGATGCTACCTTACTCTGGTTAGAATTGGCTGGCTCCTTGAAATTAAGTCCTCTCAATAGGAGGAATTTCATTGGGCACAGAGGGGAAATTGAAAAGCTACTTAGTATGTAGGGATGCTGTAATAAAGTACCACAACTTGATAGTGTAAAAACCAGATGTTTCATTTCTCACATTCTAAAGGCTGGAAGTCCAGAATCAGGTTCACAGAAGAGCCTGGAAAAAATTTCAGAGCATACCTCTTCCTTCCTATCTGCTGGTTTCCAGACAGTCTCTGATATATCCTTGGCATACAGAGGTTTCATTTCTCACATTCTTCATCTTTACAAGACAGTGTCTCTGAATATGTTCATTCAAATTCTCCTTTGTTATATGGGCACCTGCCATGTTGAATTAGAGTTCATGTATGGACGTCTTTTGAACTGGTCTATATCTTCTACAGTCCTGTAAGTCAGGTCACATAGAAGCCAGCATAAGAATTTAATTCAACCTGTAGTTTTTGTCTTTCTACTCTTTTTTTCTGTTTAACCATATAAATATTGCATGATTTCGCAAAGATATTGAATACTGATTGCTTTGATTTTGATAATTGCAGATGCCCAAACAACTGTTAACCAATGTATGCTCTAGAACACTTTCTTCACACCAAAAAGTTATCTTAAAACCTTTTCAGCACTTCCCTCCCTAAAGCTCCCCCCCCCCCCAACTCTATTATCAGAGACCAGCTGGCCTGTTTTCTGTGCCTCCCCACATCTTCATTTCTAGACATTGGAAATTCATTCATATTCATTCTCTCTCACTCTCTCTGTTTTTGAGACAGGATATCAGCGTGTAGCCTTGGCTGTCATGGAACTCACCATGTAGACCAGGCTGGCCTCCAACTCACAGAGATCTGCCTGCCTCTGCCTCCCAAGTGCTGGGATTAAAGACATACACTACCACACTCAGGTTTTGTTCTCATTTTGTGTGGCTTTTTTCCACTGCTCCTGGGGCATTATCACTGTCCTTTGGCCTTAAGAAGTGCTCACTAATTTAAACCCCAGGACACTTTGTTTTTAAGTTCCAGACATCTGCCCATTTGACATCTCCACCTGAATGTCTTAGTGGGCATCTCAGACTAAACATGCACCAACCAAACTTCCAGCCCTGCAACTCCTGAACCTGCTGCTCCTGCACCTGGCCCCATCCACTCATGTCTGTTAGTGTTGGCTCTGTACCTTTGGCTCCTCAGAGCAGAAACCCTGGAGTTAATTTTAGCTTCACTTTTTCTCAGGGGAGCCATCCAGTCTGTTGTAAAATCTTACTGGCTTTGCTCAAGATTATGTCTGCTAGCTAAACAACTTCTCACTCCCTACCTGTACTGTCACCAGCCTGGGCTACTGCAATTAGCTAAGAATTGTACTGCTTCCAGCCTTGCTCATTTCTGCCCAGCGTTCAGAGTGGTCCAGATAAGATTTGCAAAGCTATCATGCCACCATTCAACTCAGAACTGGCCAGTGCACTCAGGTCCCTCAGGCTAAAACCAGTTTTTATGTGCTACAAAGCCCGGGGTTGTCCATAAGCCTTTCTTTAGGAACCGAGTATTCTGACTTTAGACTTAGCTGTAGCCGTTTGTCAGGAGTCCTCTTGGCAGATGTTGTGAGTGAGAAGAGGCTGCCATGGTATGTAGTAGTCTGAAAGGCAAGTCAGCAAACTCAAGAGGCGTGGCAGTTAGGAGTTCTTCAGTGGAGGCGTAAACGCCCATGTGTGCTGACCCCCTGAAGCCTTGCAGTAGATGGAGGCTTTTTCCGGTTCTGAAAGAACTCCGATTCTCCCACCAGACGCAGACTCTTCTCTTTTCTTTTTTTTTATTACTATTTTTATTTTTATTAATTACAGTTTATTCACTTTGTATCCCCCTGTACCTCCCTCCTTTCTCTCCTCCTAATTCCACCCTCCTTTCGTCTTTCCCACCCGTGCCCCTCCCCAAGTCCACTGATAAGAGAGATCCTCCTCCCCTTCCCTCTGATCCTAGTCTATCAGGTCTCATCGGGAGTGGCTGCATTGTCTTCTTCTGTGGCCTGGTAAGGCTGCTCCCCTCTCAGGGGGAGATGATCAAAGAGCAGGCCAGTCAGTTCCTGTCAGAGACAGTCCCTTTTCCCATTACTATGGAACCCACTTGGACACCGAACTGCCATGGGCTACCTGTGTGCAGAGAGGTTCCAGGCCATCTCCATGAGTCCTTGGTGAGAGTATCAGTCTCAGAAAAGACCCCTGTGCCCAGACTTTGTGGATCTGTTGCTGTCCTTGTGGAATTCCTGTCCTCTCCAGTTCTTCCTATCTCCCACTTCTTTCATAAGATTCCCTGCACTCTGCCCAAAGTTTGACTATGAGTCTCAGCATCTGCCTTGACACCCTGCAGGGTAGAGCCTTTCAGAGGCCCTCTGTGGTAGGCTCCTGTCCTGTTCCCTGTTTTCTCCCTCCTCCGATGTCCATCCTCTTTGCCTTTCTGAATGAGAATTGAGCATCTTAGCCAGAGTCCTCCTTCCTGATTAGCTTCCTTAGGTATACAGATTTTAGTATCTTTATCCTATATAATATGTCTAATATCCACTTATGAGTGAGTATATACCCTGTGTGTCTTTCTGCTTCTGGGATACCTCACTCAGGATGATCTTTTCCAGTTCCCACCATTTACCTGCAAATTTCATGATTTCCTTGTTTTCAAACTACATGCCTCACTTAGGATGTGCCATGAGAATAAATGTGAAAAGTATTTGGGATCTTGTCAAGAAGAGGTTTTATTATATTTAGGGAAAACCGTGACATATGTGTATGTGTTTATATGCATGTACATATACATAAATAATTTACAGTAGCAGTTCTATTTTAAAAATTTCCCATTTTGGTTTACTTCTTTCTGGACACCGATAAACTTGGTACACCAAAATAATTGTGTTTTGGGGTCACTGGCACATAGTCTCATGTTCTTATTGTTTGGTCCACAGGAAAAATGGCGGCTGCTTCCAGCATTTTTAAAGGTAATGACCTGATGTTTAATAATAATAGGTTATTTTTCACATGATAAGTCATTAGATGGTCCCTTTTATTTTTTTCTATCTAAATACATTTATTAATCTTCTCCTCATTTGTATTTGAGGAACATTGATGGTTACCTATGGCCAGAGTGACTCCTATAACCTGTTGTCATCCTTTTTTCTTTCTCTGTTTAGGTGAAAGGCCTTGTGAAACAGCACATAGACTCCTTTAACTATTTCATTAATGTAGAGGTAAGCATCCAGGATTAAAACTAGACATAAATGGAGGACCAGTTGGCAGGAAAAGTTCTGTTCCTAATTTTGCACTCTTGCAGATAAAGAAGATAATGAAAGCCAATGAAAAGGTTACAAGTGATGCTGACCCCATGTGGTACTTAAAGTAAGAACCCAACTACTCTTAAATGATATTATGATTGATTTTTAAATACTAAGTAAATAAATGTATTCACCGTCAAATTTCTTGTAAAACCATTATTTTACCTTTTTAGTAAACTAGTTGTAAAGTGCTATTTAACTTAATAATTGTAAATCATTGTATGTTTTAATTGAGAAGTTAGTAAAACTTGTTTTACTTCTTCTAAGTAAGCCTTTTTTTAATGAATTTTAGATATAGAAAAATTGTTCTTAAAAAAGGTGTTCAGCATTGTTTGCACAGCATATGTTACTGCATTGTAGATAACCAGAGCATGATTATCAGAACCGGAAAGTTACACTGATGGAGTATGGCCAGTTGAATATACACCTGATTTGATGTTTTTCCCATTGTGTCCTGTTTCTTGTGCCAGAATTAGCCCCTGGCCCATGTTAGGATGTCTTACTATTGTTAATTCCACCGAACAAGAGTAAAGACCATTACCCAAATTCTTTAATCAATATATGCAAGCTTTATTTTTTGTCAGAGGGCTGTCTCCTCAAATTGGGATTTGAGAATATAGCATCAGACATAGGAGACAATGGCATTTATAAAGCACCAAAAAACTGCAAGACTGGGAGGTTTTCAAGAGTTGGAGGATTTGGCTGGACATTTCAAAATTATTTGGCAGAACATCTTATCAGGGTAGAGGCTAGAGTATAGGTTTTGGAACATGTCAAATACAAAAGCTAAATCATGACCCAAGTTTTACAGAAAAACAGGAATAAACTTATTTGACCTTGTAATAAGATGGCTTCAAATCTTAAGATGGTCTATCATTATACATATGTGTGTCTGTGGGTATGTACAGCTGAGCACAATTGTCCTTGGAGACCAGAAGAAGGCATCAGATCTCCTGGAACTACCTGATGTGGTTGGTGCTGGAAGCCAACTTTAAGTCCCTTTCAAGATTGGTGGTGCCTGCTCTTAAACTGCGGATTCATCGTTCCAGTGCTAAGGCTGTCTTGGTTTCTTCATCTCCTGAATCTGATAGTCCTCAGTATTGCCTGGTGTTTCAGGGCCATGATACTTTTAAATAGTCTGATCAGGTTTTACAGGGGGACCTTAAGTCTGAGTGTCTGGATACTTGCTCACGATTAGATTAAGATTCACATTTTTAGGAAGAACACCTCAGCAATGTTTTCTGCCATTTTTACTGATTCATATCAGAGGGTACAAATGTCAGTATCTTTTATTGCTGGTAATTTTAACGCTGTTTACTTGGTTAACGTAATATCTGTTTTTCAGAATTATTCATCGTAAAGATAAGATTTTTTCTTTTTTATAATAAGTATGGGAGATCCTTTAGATAATGCAAATACTGATATTCTTATCACTAATTTTATTTAATTAATAAAAAACTGCTCTGCCTGGAATTGAACCCAAAACTTTGTATTGCAGGAGGAGTGTTTTACATTAAGCTATATGTACAGCCCCGTGGTTTCAGGGATCACTAGTGATTCTTATTCATGGTAGTTGCTGTGGTAGGGTAGTTGAAAGTCTCTCTTCCATCACCCCTTTTGTTTGTAACATTTCTGTGCTCTCGTTGTACCTTTTTATATATTGTTTTATGTCAGTCGAGGCTCGTGGATTTTTTTTTTTCTGTTGTTTGTAATCCGGTATCATTATTCTTTTGCTCAGATTATCCTAGCTTTGCCACCATGCCCTTTCAAAATGTGCCCTTATGATATTTCAATTATTTTTTTACTTTCTGGAGCCACAGGATATAATTTCTATATATCTTTTCCATTCCCATCTGGGAATCAACCATTTCTAGAAGGTGCTTTAGTCTCTTTTATTAGAGCGAAGTACTTCTATATCAACATAAGGACACTAAAGGCTTAGCAGACAGCACTAGCAAATACATGTATAAGTACTAGCACATTCATGCACACATCTCTGTTTCTATCATATCTGTTTTTATATTAGAGACTTTAGACTAATGCTTTTGATTCTTAGTCAACAGTACCAACTCATTGGACTGTCTTCCTTTCCTTATTTTAATCCTGACAGTGAGAAATTTGGCTCTTTTTACCTAAAATTAAATTTTTAAAATTTCAACCATAGGGTATATAGAGAGTAACCGCAGGATTACTGATACATCTGCAAGAATAATCTTTACTAAATAGAGCACAATTGTACACCATCGTTTTTGTCTTCAGCCATATAGGATACAATCAAGCTGCTACATCAAAATCTTTTCATTAGCATTAGACCAGTGTCAAACAGTATTGTCAAAAGTTGTTGCTTCCCTCCCAGTTCTTTTGTTTGTTTGGTTTTTTTTTTTTGGGGGGGGGTCTGTATATAGCCATGGCTGTCCTAGGACTTGCTCTATATATCAGGCTAGCCTTGAACTCAAAGATGTGCTGGCCTCTGCCTCCTGAGTTCTGGTATTGAAGGCATGTGCCACCACTGCCTGGCTCTTCCCTGTTCTTTTCACCCAGTTTCCAATTACTTCTGGTATTTAAGAACATTATTAATCTTCCATTATCCTCCCTTCTATGTATACCAGTGAGCATATATTTTTCCTTCCTAAGTCCTCCCTTTTGTTTAATACACCAAAAGCCTGAGTGTTGGCAAAGCACAGGCAATGCCCTTCACCTTGTTTTTTTTCATTAGTCATCTTTTTATGAAACCATAGCACTAATATTTTTCTAATAAAACTTGCAGTATCTTTTAAAGATACTTAGGAGGCCACAGGGATAGCCGTGTGGATAAAGTGGTGAGTTTGGACTTCAGGCCTTCCTGTAAAAGCTGGGTATCTCGAAGTATGTATACATCTAACCACAGCAGTGGGGTTAGATTGCAAGGAACAATTTGATTGATTTCTTTAAAAATGTGGAAACAAACTGGTCATTTGCACTAGGTTGATGAGAAAAAAATCACTCCTAGGATTTTTGTTCCATCTTTGGACTTCAGGACCTGTTATGAAGACAGGCAGATTCCCAGAGCTTAAATGTAGCCAGCTCAGTTGGTGAATTTCATGTTCAGTGAGAAACTACCCTGTCTCAAAAAATAAGAGAAGGCTCAGCAGTTATGAGCACTGGCTACTCTTGCAGAGGACCTGGGTTCAGTTTCCAGCACCCACATTGTGGCTGACAGCCCTTTGTAACTCCAGTTCCAGTGCTCTCTCCTGGCTTCTGCAGGTATCATGTGTGCACAGTGTATTTACATGCAGGCAAAACACTCAAACACATCAAATAAAAATAATTCTTTAAAAATACATAAGATCGGAAGAAGTAGAGGAAGAAGCTCAGTGTTAACATCTGGTCTTCAGCTGGACCTGTGCAGCTGGACGTACGTTACATACATTACATAACACACACACACACACACACACACACACACACACACACACACACACA